TAATAACCAGTGCACACTGCGTGAAGAACAGCATATTTGGCGGTGTCACAATAGTTTTACAGATTAAGGTAAGATGTGGGGCATGAAGAACCCCGGGGGGTTAGGTTAGGTTTTGTTGGTTGGTTAGTATTTTATTTATTTGATTTGATTTATTCGAAAAAGAAAGAAAGTCCAACTTTTTCCGTTATGATTGTTGGGGGGCGTGTATCTTAAAAAAAATTCCGGAGGAAATGAATATCAAATTCGTTCGAAACTCATCAACATCCATAGGACAAACCTATTTTTAATATAAAAATAAAGACCAGTGTGATACTATAAATTGACCAATTGAACAAATCGAACAACTTCTGGTGTTAGCCGTCGGTTCCACCTTTAAAAATAAACATAGGCTAATATATAAATGATTGCACAATACTCACATTGCTGACAGTGTACTACAGCAGGTGTCTTGTGTGTAGTTATGAGGAAGCAGCAACGACGTGTTAACATCCTGGGCACATTAGTCAATTGATCTTCATCTAGGACAACACACACACTTCACTCAACACACACTTGATTTTTGGGTAACTATTTAGATGCCAACAACTACTTATATATTGAGTCACATAGGGAGATTGAGGAAGAAAGCAAAGAAAATAATTTACAGTTTCCATCTCAAATTTATATTTTCGACTATTTTAACCGATATAACCCCCCCCCCTCCCACTTACCAACATTATTGGTTGTTCAAAATGAGCAGGGCCTTTAAGTAGAGAAAATGTGGAGTAATATATATATATATATATATATATATATATATATATATATATATATATATATATATATATATATATACACAGTATATATATAACGCCATTGAATAAATTATTTTTAGTATGTCCCCTCTTATCTCCCTATATAAGACTCACTATACTGGTATAAGTAAATGTTGGTAACTACGAAATACTAGTCCCTTGAACTAAATTACTCACAACGCGTGTATATTCCCCACACGGCGCCATTATCAACGTCAACAAAAATGGTATTCTTATTTGTACAAAAGTTCAACACTATCCGGCATATCAATAATCTTACCTATAACGAGTGTGCTCAAGTACATGTATTGTCATATTTACGAAAAAAATCACCAAATGTGAGTTATTTACACCTGTATGGAGATGTAACACGGAGGAGGAAATAAATAATCACCTTCTACACATTCGAAATCACTGACTAAAGCGTAAAGTAGTCAACTAATCCCCGAACTTCCCGAAGGGCAATTCACACCATCCTGCCTCTTGATTGGCTGGTGTTAACGAGCTTAGCCAATCGCAGACCTCGGAATACTACAGTATACAGCATATCATTCAAAATTGTCTCAACTTTATGATGCCAAACATGTCACAGCGATTCGAATCTGTAGCCTATTGTTTGTAATACCCCAAAAAATCAATCAATAGTATAATTAGAGTAAAAAAATACCATTACAAAAGCATATAGTGTATACTCAGTCCAATAATTTTGTTTCATCAGTATTATTTCCCTCAGTAGTAAAGATGGAAGAAAATTGTATTGTATGTTAATGTTTATTTATAGAACGAATATTACCAATGGAGTGAAGCAAATTACGAATATACAGTACTGTATATACTTCGGTAAATAACATAAAACCCATTAGAGCGTCACTGCTTGGTTAAAAAAAATCAGTTTTGTTTGGTTAAATTCCAAAACGTTTCATTCATGAAATTATGTTCCTTTATTTTTAGGATTTTTGCGTGAAGGAGCACACCGCACAATTCATAAATATAATGCGATGGACATGTCACATGTGGATGATATGCTGGACATATGGTATACAGTACAGTATATGGTGGACGTAGTGGATATGGGAAAGGGTGGCCTCTGGAGTAACACAGTAACAAGGCCCTCCTCCAATATATTAAAATAGTAATGTTTTATCACACACCAAATTAAAAAGCATATATATATATATATATATATATATATATATATATATATATATATATATATATATATATATATATATATATATATATATATATATATATATATATATATATATATATATATATATATACAGGGTATGTAATAAAGGCCTATGCCCACTAGATTTTGCATGCAAGTTACACACAAAATATTAAATCGGAAATGATGAGTATGTTATAAACTAAAACCGAAATTGCAATACAGTACAGTATATGAAAATTAAATATCTCGATTTCAAAGCCATATCAAGTGCAGTGCCTAGATTCCTTTCTTACTTTCACAACAAAATAATGGAAAACGACACTGGATAGAATATTCACACAATGTTGAGTGATTGTACTTTGTTCTTAATTAACCCAAGCTTTGAAGAAGCGTTCCCCATTCCACTTTGAAGCCTTCAGGCAGATATAAATGTACAATTATGTCAACATTTTGAAAATTTTCTTTATGATCATAAAAATGAAGCAAGCTGTACATTTGCATTTTAAATCCCTTATCACTTACAGTGAGTTCTGCTATAACGCGTGTTTTGATAACGCGACTTTGCTGTAACGCGATTTATGAATTAGGAACGATATTTGTATAACGCGAACACTTGTTTGCTATAACGCGATTTTTGCTTACTATTTCTCCAATTTTGTGGTACGTATTAACTGTGAATATAGTAAAGAAGAATATCAACAAGAAGCGTTCTGGTGATAGAATTCCCGGTGATGATCGTAAAAGAAAGGATATAACACTTGAAGAGAAGCTCGATTTTATCAACCTCAAAATCACCCTTCTCCCCCATCAAGTAAAGTGTTACATTTACTGTATGATTTCATTATTAGATATGAAGGTAACATTTATCTAGACTGTGCTATCCTTTGTGTTAGGCTAACTACTAAATTTTTTCGATTTCGAGTAATCTGCACCAAACCCTATTTTCTCCATAAGCCCTGTTATTTCTATTACGCGATTTTCTATAACACGATATTTTACAAGAACACAATTATCGCGTTATAGCAGAACTACCTGTACTTGAACCTTTGCTAAACATGTGATCAAAATTGCTATAAACCGACAGTTGTGCAGTTACACATTGTTGATATTTGAAGTGTAATGGTTTAGATCCAGTGGTTCCCAACCTCCTTTTTGTGTAACTGGACCACTTTGAATGGTTTAAAGTATGATGAGAGCCACACCTTGAAGTGCGATAATGAATAAATGAATTTACGTTGAATTCTTGGGGCCCTCTTACACCTGGGGGCCCTGAAGCTACTGCCCCTTTTGTCCTTATGTTAATCTGCCACTGGATGAGAATATCTGTAGCATTATATTCTGTCACATCAGTTGATTCAAGGTGTTGCATCAACACTGCAATTATTTAAACATAAATAAAAATTTTTTTTCAATTGTTTCAACATTTTAAGATTTTTTTCTTACAAATAACACCACAAGAATTCAATTGAATGTGTAAATATTAAAAAATCATGTGATTCAAAGTTAATACAGAGTATTGTACTGTACCTTTCAGCATTTCTTTCCTTGTCTGTTACATTCAGAGATTATTGTGAGTTTTTTGTCTTTTTCCTTTTGATTTCAACTCTTGTGCAAGTAAGTGGCGTTTTCGTGATGGCATCTTGCATGACTTGGGTCGATTACCAAGAGAGAAGCTGGATGCTACAGAGCATTGCCGCAACATTGCTGCAAGGTTGTAAGTAAGTTAGGCAAAATGTAACGTTCTAAACATTAGAGGTGCGCCTGACAAAGATATTGGGATAATATTAGTTGGTACACTGCATGCGCAGGCCGCATAGCTGAAGTTAGATAACGCGTTATACATACGTACAGTACTATTGATCGACACAGCTCTTTGCTGCTGTGGCTGAATAAATACATGCACATTTAGTATTACAATGATCACACGCTTCTATCTAAGAGAAAAGCTTGAACTGAAGTATTTCATGAGTCCATAGGTTGGTGGTTAAGCACTTGCATTACAAACAAGGGGTTTCGAGTTTAATTCCCAGCAGGAGTGACGGAACTGGGTTTCTGCCTTATAAATTTACCTTTTATATCATTAACAATAAGAGTACACTGACAGGTGCACTTGCTGATGGTGGAACAACCCTTCAGTGAGCTAACATCCTGCCAAAGAAGTGGAACAGCCCACGATCTGCTAATTGTTAAGACTTGAGGGATCAGCACCTGTGTGGCCACTATGAAAATGTTAAAAATATATTGTATATATACTAGGCTTCATCATGTACTCGGTACATGGTAGGCCCACTTAAAAGCTTGCTCAACCCTCACTCAATTATCAACGTTGTCCTGTATGCTAAAGGGAGTGGCCCAAATTTTACCTTCGGGAGTTTAATCAAACCCTGGAGGCAAGAGAACGCTGATAAAAATATCACCTATTATCTGCTACTACCATACTGACCTTACATATTTTATAAATTAGAAAGTGGTAAATGTTAGGAACAAGAATACCACAATACAAATTTTCATGGAGTTCTGTTCATACAACAAATATTACTCAAATGTCCAATACATGTACTGTACTTACAATAAATAAGTCCATTGTTAGAAGTGTAACAGTTTAACTTAGACATTACTTGGGAAGGGATTAATAGGCTGTGGTCGCCACACCTCTGGTGCTTTGGCAGGTTGACAAAAACCATCAGTGCATAACTGTACAGTAGACAGTATCTGATTTGAGCAACAATGAAGTTTCATTCCTTAAATCAAATACAGTACAGTATAGTCCAATAATGGGTTTTGTAGTTCACTGAATGTATGAAGGCCACAATCACAACAAAAGTTTCATATTTACAAGTACAGGTACTATACAGTACTGTACTGTACATTCAAGACACAAAAGTTTTGTGAAAAAATACCCTAAACTTCCAGTGTCGCAGCAACCCTGTTTTTAATATTTCCCCCAAAATATAACAGTACTGTACAGTACTACCCAAAACACATAGTACAAAATTTTTTTTAATGATTTTATAAAAACTTTGCCCTTTCAGTCCTCAGGTTGGTAAGAAGGATGGAGATGCAGAGATGTTGAAGGAATACTTGGTGGCTCAAATTCTTGGCAAGAAGAACAATTTCGACTGCAGCTCTCTGTATGGCTCTTGTCCCTTCAGTGCCTTCAACTACTTTGAGTTTATCCGCAACACCACTGCTGCCTTGAATAGCAGTGGAGAAGAAAACCTACAGATGTTGTGAAGCTGACTTTTTGAAGACACTTTTGGTAACCTTCAGAGCATGTGAAATAGCCTCTCCAGGACAGATGAATCACTTAAGAACAGTTTAATACTGTACAGTACCCCATTCAGTAATCATTGATCCTAAGAGTAGTAGAACTTGACTTCAACCAAATATTACCAGTAACTTAATTTGCATGAAAAATATGCATGAAAAATGTTTGTTTGTTTCATATATGGGCTATATATGAGGGTTTGCACAGATAATATATATATATATATATATATATATATATATATATATATATATATATATATATATATATATATATATATATATATATATATATATATATATATATATATATATATGCAAATAAAATCACTGTAGGTACAAGGATTCAGGTTATGTTTCAGCTGCAATTCACACTCCCTAAAAGCGAATCAACTAAAGTCACTGGGGAACCCCAGTGCCTCTGCCCCTTGTATATATACTGTATATATATATATATATATATATATATATATATATATATATATATATATATATATATATATATATATATATATATATGCAGTTTGCCTGAAGACATGGCAGTGTGGCGGGTCACGACACTATGCCACTTTCTCCTGATTGCACAGGTAGCATCCCATTTAACATTATATTGTAAACTAGATTCACTGTAACAACCCCTGAAGGATATCCCAGAAAGACAAGTTGGATCCAAGACACTCACCGACTTATAAAAATGGGGTTTCAGGATCAAACCCTCACTTATAACATGGGATGCTTCAAGTCACCATAACTGTATAAAAATCTCATAAGTAAAAAACTTGGCTTCATCAAAATTACAACTACAGCATACAGTACAGTATATACAGTGGGCCCCGGACTGATCTTGGGGTTAGGTACCAAAAAGGTCCTGTGATAATTTGGTTCAAAATGGATTGAAGTCTACTTCTCACAGGAAACAGAGGGTTGGAGGATGAGCTTGTAAATTACTTGTTAAACATTTATAGGTTTGACCAATACAGTACTGTACACAAAAGAAATATAGTACTGTACCAAGAATTCACTTTAAAGTTAATGAACAAATATAGGATGTTGCCACAGTACTACTAATCTTGATTAAGTTACCCTAAAATTCTACTCTCTTTTTTTAAGTTTTTCTGACATTTCTTGCTGAAGCATCAGGTTTACATTTAGTCACCTGGGTGTTATAATTGCAACATGAGGAAAATTCTACAAACACTCCCTGGTAGTTTTCTCCAGTGCTCCCCAGAAACACATCACAAACTTCAGGATAGTAGTTTTAAGTCAAGCCTGATCAAAACTATGGGCTAATTTGTGATGCCTCCAATCATCAGTACAATAACCACAATCACTCGGGAGATCATCTCACTCATAAGTATACAGTAAAGGTAGTGTTCCATTCCTCTGCTTATTAGCTATTAACCTCTGTACAGTATATACAGTATATATATACAAAAATCAGAATTTTGTATTTCATTATGTTGCAATTTAGGATTTTTTAGTATGATGCATGTAAATCCAAATGTTTGTCTTCTTTTATTTTTTAGTATAACCTGATTCGATTATGTTAATAAAAATGTATTGATGATTTATAATCTGAAGTTATTTCATCCTTAGCCACACACATATAGTACATACATAATTATATAAAGGAGAGCATTTTGTATAGGTAGAATATAGACCATGCTGGGATCCATTAAGGTGACTGCAACCTGGCATATACTGTAACTATAATTACAGGATTTTAACCTCACCTTCCACCTAAGACTGTACCACAGTGATCAAAAGGTCCCTGTGCATCTGCAGTAATTAATAGCACGAGTATTGTACAGTACAGTACAGTTTTCCTTGTTATATCTACATTTACTGTAAGAACAGTGATTAATTATACTATTATTTAATGCAGGTGCACAGAGACTTTTCAATCACCCTTCATAATATAGAAGAATGCTGTACTTACGTAATTACAATATGTACAGAAGGTTTTTCATTAATATTTTCACTTATATCTCAAAAGTTGTCCAGGCATTACAGGTGTGAAAGTGTGCACAACCTCTTATAGTCAAAATTAATGTTGGTCCTCTTGATGTGGACACTGGACAATAATGAATATGCCACCAAAAAGAAGTACATTAAGCATATGCATCCTGAGAATTTACTGACAAATTAGTTATTAAGGTACAGTAATAATATAGACAGTGGTATTGTGAGGCGTAATACTGGACTCACTAGCACATGGAAAATTTGGAAGTCCATTAATTACCCAAGGCACTTGGACTGAGCAAGCAATCACCCATGTCTTTGCCCACTAACTTATTTCCAAGCCCCACCAGTTACATTCTCAAACATACACGAAGTACTGTTTCAGCTCTTCAGTTAATATTGAGATAAGCATTGATTATGAACATTGAAGTGATACCTATAATAGGGATGGGTCTATTTCATACAAATCAAAGATTTAATCTCTCTCTGATCCAGCTGCCAGTCTGACATACCTACTTCACCTATGTACAAATTTAGTACATGCTCAAATATCAGTGGTACCAACCATTTTATGTAAGTAGGCCACACTGAATGGTCTAATGGGAAAATTAATAAGATGGTTAATAACCAGTTTAACAAAATCAAATATTAAAAAAACACCATCTTTAAATGTAGGAATTTATATAAATGCACTAATTCGAAACTTCACTCAAATGATAAAAGGCTAGAGGGCTGCAAAACAGATTAGAGACCACTGTTCAAAATCAACAGAAATGTTAAATGTGTTATGATCCATTGTAGGAAAAACATTTTCAGTGAATGTACAAAACACTGTTATATTGAACTGACTTTAAACATTTTATTTTCACAGGCCAAACCAGAAATAACCCAACAACTGTATGATAAATTTCTGGAAACCTTAATTCCTTCCAGTAAGATATGAACTTTCTCAGTGATTTGACTGACAAAATTTATACTACGAGATTAACTTTTCATAAGTGGTTTAACCTTTTCATCACATACTTTGGCATTAAGCAATGCCAGTGCACTGCATTTTGCTGGGCATGACCACAAGAGGGCATTTGGGAACTAATGATTTCCAAGTTCAGAAGGTCTTGGTCACCATATAATTCCTTACAGGAAACCACTAAGAAGCAGAAACACGTTTTTCTTTCCTAGTGGTCACCTACATACCTGTATATACACTCTTCAAGTCTTTTACTACAGGATGTACAGGATCTAATACAAATTCCACAATCCACTTGATGTTGTATTCTCCTATTACTCACATGCTTTGCTACTTTCTGGTTGTCCATCTCTCACTTCTAGTACTTAGTTCACCCATCCTTCTATCTCTTTCTAGGTCTTCCCTCTCCTACTACCCACCTTTGAATTTTACGGTTTTCACCAACTTTTCACTTCGTTTTCTTTGTATTGTGTCCATACTATGTAACCAAACCCGGGTTAATCTTCCATCCAACACTTTTCATTTTTACATCTAATTTGTGTTTATTCTCACCCATTGCTCTCAAGCAGCCAATTTCAGTCCTTTCTAATTTATTCTTTTCCCTTGCATCCCGAGTTCATGTTCCACTCCCATATACAGTACATCCAATTAGCCTTCTTTTCACAAATTCACTCTCACCATAAAGCTTTTATACAATAATGTTTTTCCTTTTATTACTTTATGATTTATTACCCACTGCTCCATTCCCAGATGCTTGAATGTCTCACTTCCTTCTTTTATTTTTTTTTATCTCCCTTCACTACTTATTTTCATCACTACCTTTATTCACAATCATTATTAACTTCCTCAGCTCACAAACTTCCACAACACTTAAAATTTCTTCTGAATTACCCACCCAGGCAGCATCATCTATAAAGAGCAGATAATTTGCCTCCCATTTACAACCTGAACATTTCTTTTTACCAAATTTGCTCCCTCTCCATTTCTCTTGCCTTCCCCTCTTTATACCCAAATGTTGTAAATCCCATGATTACACAACCACAGCAACACGAATCTATTTTCAATGACTAATTTCTCCTCCCAACATACTTCACTCTCCCTATGAAAACTGTTTGGCATTCAAACATTTTTCATGTACTGTAGTTCATTCACCTTCAAACCCTCCCACATTGTTATCACTTAAACTTTGTCTAGATCCATGAATGCCTCAAGCACATTCCTTCCTTTCTCCTAAAACCCTTCCCTCCTATTCCTTATTGCCAACATTGATCAACACCACCTTGTTCCTGAACCAACACAACTTGTCTCCAATGTCTGAGATTTTTACAATAAATTTTCATTAACTCAAAACTCTCTATTCCTGATACAGTATAATATATAATCTTATACCCTTGTAAATATCCCTTCATGATTTGTGTACACGAGTGCACTAAATAGGGATAATCACATGATTAAACCTCAAAACACATTTGATATCTTTGCAAAATCTGGATGTGTTTTTGATAAAATTTGCTCTACTGTACAGTATTTCATTTCAAACACCATTCACTATTGTAACCAGAGTAGATCTACACTTTATATATACAAGTGATATCTCCGTTAGCTGGAACAATTGGTGCAGAGCACTTCATGAAACGAGATTTCCGGATAACGAGACGACTATCAAAGACGGAAAAAATACCTCATCCCCAAATTTTTCCGGCTAAAGGAAAAATATTCTTGGAAGTTCCAGAAATTGTGCATTTACATCGTCTCTCCAACCCGGAAAATATCCCCCATCCCTGGAATTTTCTAGGTACAGTACAGTACTGGAGAAACTTTCTCAGAATTTTCCAGAAAATGTGTCCCACTGGTAAGCCATTCACAATCCAGAAAATTACGGCTTCGGGAATGATTTTCTGATAAAATTTCAATTCCGGCTATCGGAGAGATCTGGTTAAGAGGGATTCTGGCTAACGGAGATATTACTGTGTTTGTGTATAACTGTCCAGTCTTCTCGGACTATTTCTTTGACACTGGATCACTTTGCTCGTTAACTCAGGGTGTGGTTATTGTGCTGGTGACAGTTTCCACACCTTCTACACCCTAAATAAATTCACGCCTAGATGGCCTTAGGACCGGCCATCCTCATTACACAAGGGTAACCAATATAAATATATTAGTTCATTACAAAATAATTATGCAGATCTCATGTTTAAATATCAAATCTAAACATAATTTGAATACCCTAACATTCAAAAGGCTAACCAAAACAGTTTAGAGTTCCTAAAGCCTGCTGCTTTGTTTTCCCCACACTGCTAGAACCAATACTACCACTTTTGTCATTGTCCACCATTATGAAGTTGACAGTTGTGTGATGTATTTTCTCTTTTATTTCTACGAGTTTCCCTATTTTGCTCTTACACAAGCAGCCAACAAATATCTAAGTGAGTGTTTAGTGTAGTGGTGCTAAGAAAAAGCCTGTTATCCCTATCATTATCCAGGTTGAAAATTCTACAGGTATTAGATAAGGGCAAGTCAATGCATACGCTGAGGAGCATTATGATGCTGGGTAAGTATTATGTGGAGAATAATTCAAATATGGACAATGCCAAGTGTAAAATCATACATGAAGCTAGATTTACCAACCTTGGTAAAGTTAAGGCAAAGTCCAAGTAAATGCATATCCACTTCCATGCCACTTATGTATGAACAAGTGAAGCATAAAAGTGCAGGTACAGAAAGGCCACTGAAAAATACAATGCCATAGTTGAGTTTGTGAAAGAATAAAACTTTAGTCATGGACAAATTTAAAATGCAGATACTTGATGCATATACAGTACAATACATATTACAACACTGCAATATTTCATGTAAATAATATTTAAAACAATAATAGTTATACAAAACACAGCTGTTTAATTTATGAAACGTTTAGGCTTCAACCTGGACCCCTGTAAAGATCTGTAAATATCCTGAATTCAAACCCCGCCAAATCCCCAAAGAATTCGGACTCGATCTCACAAACTCAAAATGTTTCATTGAAATATTTTGATTTGATTTAAGTCCAGGTTCAAATCAATTACCCAAATCATGAATTAAATGTATTTCAGATGGCTATTTATTATAAAATATTTAGCAACCTTTGATCTTTGACCTTATTTCCCTGGTCATTTCATTAGTAATTTGATCTCAGACTTTGCATTGTCTTATAGTTTCCATTTGCACTAACAAGTATAAAACCCACAGAAAACATTCCCTCACCTAATTTTATAGTATCATTCTACATAAACAAGTACTGTATATTAATAAATTTTCAATTTGGGAGGGAATAAAATGTTTTCATTTTGCTTTTAATTTTATTAAAGCAACATGACTGATTCTTACGGTGTCTGCAACAAGACCATGAGAAAAATCAATACAATGAGAGATGGTGGAGGTGCCAATGACGATGATCAGTACAAGATGAGATATAAAGACATCAAGAATGTGGCGACAGTAACAAAATGCTACAATCATTAAAGGTCAGCACATAATGGTAGATATGATAAGATTAGGCAAGCGACAATGATGAGTGGTCAATATCCTACGAGTGGAGAATAACAAAATAAATAATGCGACCCGTAGCAGCGCTAATACAGTCGCGTGTCCATGAGGGCTGCCACGCCCCGCCATGATGGCTAGTCGTCTTGGCAATCAGTACACGCATTGTCTCCCTACCCTTATACATGAGGCACCATCAGTGCACTCCTTATTGCTGGGATCCTAAACCAAATGTTATAAGTATGGATTTAAAAAAATGGCAACCTTGATTCCTCACCAAGGCATTTTTATATATACTGTACACTGTAGATCACAAGGAGAAATATATGAATTTCAATATATTTCAAGAATGCCCATTTCCACTTACAGATGCTACAGCTAACTTTTACTCCTAAGTTTAAATATGTCCCATATGAATAAAAAAAAAACTAGTAATTCAACAAAGAACCACTTACAAATTAATAAAAGAAATTATTTTTACAATAGTTCCATAGATACACCTTATTATATAATAATGCATGGTAGCAATCTATGAAGATGAAAATATATATACATGATATACATTAATGATCCCCATATAACCTAATGTGCTGGAAGTACTGAGCGTCAGAGACCAACCAAACGAGGCAGGGACATCACTGACCCATAGCAACAGCTAATGGAGGTCAATGCGGCGACTAGCATCGCTAGTTGTCTCCGCAGGGGTGGCGTCTTGTTGTATAAAAATATAATCTCTCTCTCTACTTACAATAACCATTGTATTTACAAGGCCCATAGCACAAGCTACTGCGGACCAAGGCCACTGTGACACTTCCAAATGGGAATGTGCACTGGACAGTATGACAATGCTAAAACACCAACACACTGGACAGTATGACAAAACCACATGAGCAACATAAACAGGACAGTATGTCAACATTATATGAACAAAGTACATTGGATTAGTGTAGATATAAAATACAATGAGCAAAACTACGGAACATGTCCGTGGGTCCTGAAGGACACTCTTCATCATGTGAGTATGCATTGTGAATGAAACATAAACGTAGTGTAACAATTTAATCTGGAACATACTTGTTAGTAGTGCAATTCTGTGACCAAACACAAGAGAAACTTTATGATTATAATGACTACTACACTTCATCTATGTTTAATCACTTTCTCCTGCTATTAACAGTTAAGAATCTCATCATGCAATACATCTGAGTGTCTTAACTTAAGTGTTCAAAATATAAATTTATTAACTTGTTGAATACAATCCAAGAAAGATTATCACAGATGGCCTTTAAAAATATCAATAGTTGGCACAGTCTGCACAAGGCTTGACTGTACAATTTATGAGCTTCTATTAAGTTACTGTACATGACACACAAGCAGTGTCCAAGCTTCCCACAAAAACACCCGTGCACAAACTTGAAAGGAAGGTTTTCATTAAATAATTTTACATTGTAGACAATGAATGGATTTATATTATCTTCCCTCTCAATATAATTCAAGAATATGTAACACTCTTGGTGTTATTTATATATATATATATATATATATATATATATATATATATATATATATATATATATATATATATATATATATATATATATATATATAAATATATATATATATATACATATATATATATATATATATATATATATATATATATATATATATATATATATATATATATATATATATATATATATATATATATAAAGTAAATAAAAAAAAAAACCAGAAGCTCAACAAATATGGTTTCAGAGTGAGTGGACTAGATAGTGGTGGAGGCAGCAAACATTGTGTGCACCTCCATATAGTGAAACAGGGATGATCCTTACAACAAAACAAGACATATAGCTGCTACACACAAACTTCCTGAGCCACTTAAATCACCAGGAGAAAAACTGTCATGTGGCAAATCTATAAATATGAACATGAAATAAAAGATAATGCAGCTATTAACATATAACATGTACTCTGACAGATGAGGTTTTCTCCTACCTATGTTTAATGTTAAACCAATCCATATCCAACTTTCCCACAAATATTGCAGAAATGACAGCAAAAAACATGTGCCCTGACAATCAACACCTTAATACATGATGATACCTTCATCATGAACATGAAGTATACTCCAATTACTACTGTTGGAAACTTTGGTGGCTTTGGTTACACAAGAATGTCATCAAATTATCAAAAGAGCACCGGCAATTTAAATTGCCTAAGAAAAACCTTTGATGGTTGCATCTGATGGTGCTTAACACAATCTTCCTAAAGAAGCACATTATTGACATTCTATCCATTTGCCTATCTATTTCAAGTTCAAAAAGGAAATAATTAATAAAAGTGCTACAGTACAAACATCACAGAGCAAGAGTTCATTATTCATAAAATTAACCAACCTAAAACACCAGAACTCACTATTCCATCACACTATATTAACAAATTATGACAGCCTTTGTCACCAAGCCTAAAGTATAATCTCAGAATGCAAATTTTGATTGAGTTAAGTAACAGGTAGAGGGTGAACTGGTAAGAGTATCACGTCAAAAATATATCCCAGTGCACCGTACGACACATGCCTGAGTAAGGCAAATTAAATGTAGTCTTTAACACACAGCACACCAGTCACCCATCTAATATAACATAATAGGAGTGCCACAACTAACAATTAGTGCAGCAATATTTATCAACCCTTTAACTTCAATCAGGGAAATAGCCATTTTCATCTATAATACTTTGTTCACGGAACTAGTTCAATTGTTATTTATAATATAAACAATAATCTTGGTGATAAATGTAAAATTGCTCATATACATCACAAAAATCACAGTAATGATTAATGAAAAAAAAGATGGATACTTTAACCCAGACCTACTAAAGAGTAATAATAAAAAAAAAAAACATGTTAAGTTAGACAACAGTATATGCTGGATGGTACATAAGTAAAACTCAATGATTGGAGAGGATCATCTAAATCAACTCCAGGGATTATTGTGGAGAGCAGCCCGGACCACCTCATCTCACACCGACCTACAGAACAAACTGTATTTTTCAGAGGTCTCTATCTTCAAAGCTGAGCAATACCAGCCAAACACCAATAGCCCAAGGCCGAGTTGGGTGGTGTGACTCAGCCAGCCGAACACCAACAACAGAAGGTGGTCTGCTCCAGAGGCGGGGCTGCTCTTTTGTACATAGATCATTCCTGTGCTCCAGTTGGGGGACAGCAGATATGGACAACAAAGCCAAAGGGGCCAAAAATACCAGAGGATGCTCTGGGTTGTTGCATAGACAAATGAAAACAACAAATTAAAGTTATTCCTCAAAAACAACTTAAATGATCCCGTGTGTACATCGTGAAGAATAAATAACATTGTATTCATAAACCTTAGACAACCGAGGCAGTGTACCCAGACCACATTCCTGCAGGTGATTAAAGAATAAAATTGTAGTTATAATAGACAATAATACTAAAATGAAAAAAGAGAAGCAAACATTTAGGTGGTTTATGGTACCAATTCTTTAAAGAGCTATTTGATGGGGAATGAGGAAAGGATTCATGAGAGGCTACTGTCAGTATCAAGAAAATATGTGCACACTTAGATAAGTTTTGTAAGACTAACAGTAAGTTTTAGACTATTCATGAACACCTGCTCAGAGGCCTCCAGTTGATGAGGTGTGGAGAAACACCACTGAATAGAGGGATATACCATGACGTACTGCCCAAACATTAGCTGACTCTTCAATCATGCCTACAACATATGTCTAAGGCTCTTGGAGAAAATAAAGAAGGAAAAATAATAAAATAAAATAAAGGATAAACATATATAAACAGTCACAAGCTACTCTGTGCACTTGGATTAAGAACCAAAAGATCCACCAAAGTTGAAGCTCGCAGGAACTGCTGTCTGTTGGAAGTTGTAACCTGAAATATAATTCAGTTTTAGTTTTCAAACCAGAAATTCAATAGGAGAATTAAAATTAAAGGAAAGTAGGTCTGACAATAATTTTATCCTACTCGGCTTTTATTTGAACTGAGAAGTGAAAGAGATGACAACTTTAAGTCATCTTGAGAATAATACTGCACTGGCTTCCAAATGGGTGATAATTTACAATGTCTTGCCACATCTGAAGAGGAAAGTTGAGATAATTCATACTGGTACAGGGTAACTTTAAAATACAAACTACGAGAAAGAATTGTAGCACAAGGAATTATTTTAGAAACATCAAATTGTTTTATTGTAACCTTTTAAATTTACTTCATCAACCAGCAGTCACCATTTTTGTACATTTACCAAAAATTTTCTTGTTGAAATAAGTTTTACTAAGATCATCTTCATGTTTTCTATAAATTTTAGTCAATATTCACAAAGGTCAGAGGCAAAGGGCATACCATTAGATGAAAACAGAACTCCCAAATTTAAATATTTGGCATGTATGTACAATTCAGTAAAAAAATTACCGTTATAATTCCTGCGCAAAACAAACTGACACTACAAACGAAGTTTTTCAAAAAGGCCCCTGAGGCATTCCTCGCATTAGTAGCCCCACGCGTGTATGGGTTCGGCCAAACGTGCTAGAAACGAGACCGGTACTCTGAAACGATACCCGGTACTAGACCTTTCAAAATTATCGACTGTATGGTAAAAAGTCGTTAGGCTGGGTTCCATTATGACGGCATGCAAAACTGTGGAGCTATCCAGATGTTTTGGAACAGCTTGGTATATTTTCCAATATGAACAAAGAATGACAATGTGGCATTACCCCAAAGAGAAGTAGCAATACAAATACTGATTCGAAACTCAGTTGCAAAATAATCTTATACCTTTACTATATCCACTAATTTTTTCAAACATATAATGCATTCCTATATGGCAACTCATTTTCTTCCATGGTTACTGTAGTCCATGGTGTGTGGAACATTTAATATCACATACAGTCTAACTTATCTAGATATACTGTACTGACATTCTCCAATCATATTGTAACAAAGTAATTCAATATTGTCAATGAAATAGCTAATTGCGGCCTACCAAACTAAGTATGAAATGTCTCGCATTCAGGCCTACCAACCCTCGCGAGACAATGGGAATGTTCAGTTGGAAAATTATTGAACCCCACCTGCACGGTATTTTTTTTTACCGAATGTACTGTATAGTATGAATCTTCTGTAAACATTAATATTTACAGTAGATGGAATAAACCATAAATATAAAGAAAAAATGCAATACATACAATCTTTGGAGAAATAGAACTTACTCTCATACAGTCAAAATTTTCTCTTTCTACACACTTACCATGAAGAAATTTAACCCTTAAAGCCTGGGTGACATTCCTGAGCATTCTTAATTTCCAGACATATTTTGAATGTCCAGGCGGGAGGAAATACTTTGTATGGGATAAATGTGTAATTGGCAGCTCAACTTGCATGTACACTCTCTCCTCGACTTACGACGGGGTTCCGGACCGACGACCAGGTCGTAAGTTCAAAAGGCGAAAATAATACATAGAAAATCTAAAATGGGGGTCTCTTTTTTCTTCTTCTCAGCACCACGAGAACTCTTACTTTTAACTTGCCAGCCATTTTCAAGAGAATTACAAACGAAAATTTTGTCGGTACACAGCGTGATCACTAATGTCGGGACTTGAAAATAGGTAATTTGAAAAATATTTTATACGACTGCGGCGGTCATATGTCCAGGTGGTCGTAAGTCGAGGAATACCTGTAATTATCTCAACACTCGTGCCACATAGTCAGTTACCCGCCAGTATTGTGAGATGCACGCCCTTAGACCTCTCTTAAGACCCACTTCACCCCTCCACACGCAAGCACAAACAAGTGAAGGCATTTGCTTGAGAGTCGTGCTGTTCGTCAAGAGTTCCTCGATTTGAGTGGAATTGATATAGTAACAGGTGATGAAAACAATGATGGGGAGGAAAACAGAGCCAAGATCATGTTGAGGTTGTTGAGGCAGTAAAGACAGTGAGAGGCCTACAGACTGACAGTCCTTCCCCCTCCACACCTCCCCAGCCACTGTGAACCACGGTGCAAAGATATGGCAACTTGGTTCAAGGAGTGCGGAATTGCCTTGTGCATTCCATGTTACACAAACTTCCACATGATCAAAAAGTTCTAAATTCAGTATAAGTACATGTAAATAGTGTATGTATTTCAAAATTGTGATAAGTTTTGTGGTCTGAATATTCTTACTGTTCAGAATTAACAGTTCTTTTGAGGAAAATAGAAATATTTTGTGTTTTGTAGCAACTATATGATAGAAATATGGTAACAAAGTGTCTTCAAGTTAGAATTGTGTGTCTATCACTTCCCACTCGCTCTGAGCTGTGCGCAGCAGCTTCAAACAATACATCTTTCATCATTCCACACTGGTCAGCAACACTCCAGACAATTCCCAAACCGTGTTACATTAAAAGTTTAATGTAAGAATATTCCTCTGGTATTTTTCTTATATTGATTAACCCATTTATAAGGTGACAATGGACATTTTTATTTATCTTATTTTATTATTTTTTTTATCAAAATATGCCAGCATGGGGGGGGGGGTTTCCAGCGGGTCTTACGACGCCGAAGTCTAAGGGTTAAGGTGTAGAATACATTCTATAAAACTTCTACCCTGTACATGCTTTATCATAATTTATCCACACTAACCTGGATAATATGTAGGTTGAGAAGTATTTAGTACTGTATATGAGGAGCTCTTCACCTAAATGGTATTACTATCTTGTGATGACAAAACCCCTTACCTGTTCTCACCTGTGGCTCAACTGCAAACACTAAGATTCTCTACAGCCTTACTTTCATACATCAGGAGACTGATCTAGCTTCTAACCAGAAATGCCCTTGAATCACAGACCAAAGCTCCTTAACATGACTTATGTTCTAGTGAGTAAGAGCTAAACAGAATTCACCTCCACTCTGCTGAATCTTTTTGCTCTGAGCAGCAGCATGCCTTTGGTCTGCCAAGGTAGCCACCTCCTGCATAGTTTTAAGTTGATCTCCGCTTAGACCTCCTGTTAGTGCTTGGTACCACACTGGAGCACTGGTCTGTAAATCTAGAGAGAGATTTGAATTACTTCCTTAAATACATGATAAAGAAACTGCAAGTTATTCTTTTTTTCTCAATTCTCAAAACATTTTCTGCTCCTACTCTACATTAATTAAAATTCAATTAAATTCTTTTTAACTTATTTCTCTCTTTATATAAGGCTAACAAGGGCCTGTATTACTCAGCTGTTGAGTTGTGGGAATATCTCAAGACTTTGTTAAGGAAGATAAGCATCAAAGCAGAGAATAATTTATAGCAGACAATGAATAACATTGAATGATAATTAACATAGGCTCATGCTCTCAGCCACCCTACATGATAACAATAAAAAGATTAGAAGAGAATAAAATCACTCACTCTGCATGACTTCCTTGAACACCCAGTATTCATCTACTTCACACTCATCCTTGTCCAAAGGAGTTGTGAATGACTCCAATGCTGTCTCATCCATCTCTTCATCCAGTCCTTCTTCGTCATCATCGTCATCATCGTCATCCTGCAATGGTTGACATCAATGAATAAATCAACTGCTACTCACACAAACTCAATATTTCTGTTAATCTTCAACAGAAGAAGAAAAAAAGAAACTGAATTCAATCAGCCTGACGTTTCACAATATACGCAACACAATATTAGCAAATATTAAAAAAAAAATAAAAATAAAAAATAAATTCTGCACCTTTATGGTGTTATACATGTGACACACCGGACCAAGAACTCTGAACACTCATTTACGCGGGTGATTCCTGTTAATTTCTCTATACAGTGGTCCCTCGGTTAACGAGCACAATCCGTTCCAGCAGGTTGCTCGTTAACCAAAACCATTGTTTCAATGGGTGTTTGGGTAATTGGTTCCAGCTCACCAAAAATTGCCTAAATTCAACAAAAAATGTAGAAAAGTACACTTACTTTGAGATGTGTATGTAGAAGGCTCCTGGATGATGATGATGGGAATTATAATGGGGGTGGAGGAGAAGGGAGAAGAGAAGGCATGGGGTGGAAGAGAAGTCACCCCATGGTGCTATTTCACCCATAAAATTTTAGTTCTCTTGGTGTAATTGAAGATTGTTTTCTTTAAATCAACACTGCACTGCATTATATATTAACAATATGTAAAATAAATTTCAAAATGACCAATAATTTGCTTGGAAACAGAAAAAAGCATTTCGTTGAAGAGAGTCTCAAGCAAGATGTTACCTCCACTGAAAAGAGAGAGACTAACGCCTGTTTGTGTGTTAACAGGCTGGATGGCGCGCCAGAAACTAGTTTCTTTACCTTCAATTATGTTCAATAATTGTTAAAATGACTAAAAAAATTTAATATTAAACTTTTCAAATTATTGAATAGTATAAACTTCTTGATATTTACTAAAATAGTAAGAAACTTAAGCCCTAAAACCGATTACTGTATTGGCAGACTAATACTACAGCTGGTGGACCGCCAAATGCAAGCAAAAACATGTTGAGGTCGGCTTGTAAAAAAACTCGTTAATCGAGGGATTGCTCGTTAACCGAAGTTAAGAATCTTATGGAAGGTAAATCGTTAACCGAGGGATCACTGTATTAACTATATGTGATATAAAAAATACATCATACTGGTTATACAATGCATCACCCAACCAGAAATACCAACCTTACCAAATTAACATCGCCTCAGTCAGTGATCGTTGCAGAGGCCATCAGACCATGGGGTGCAGAATGTTTTTGGGTGGACTGTACAAAACGTCAGTGTAATCCTTAAATTTTCTGCCACCACTATTATAATTTTTTTGTGCCACAATTAAACCCGACTTCGGGCAGTGGGTACCCTACTGAACACAACACAAATAATACTACAGGGCAACCTTGCACAGTAGAAGTGTAGTAAAAATTTATTGGTAAGGTTTATATATGATTTTTGGTATTCCGTATCTTGACATATGAGCTATGACACCCCAAAAGTTAATCAGACCTAGAACTTTATACATAGAGCCAATTGGTCTGGTTCTGTCAATACACATTCACCAACTCTAAAGACACCTTGTTCACACTATGTGAATGGATGAATGAGATGGTTGGACATGCAAAGTCAAATCAATATCCTCTCACTTTGCAATATTAAAATGAATACAGTCAAATAGACAAACCTGTATACAAGCATTGACGGTGAAAGGTGCAGCAGCTGATGCTCTGTTCACTTTCTCCTCCAGCTTCTCCAAGTACTCGTCACCAACATCATCTAATTCGTCCTCGTCACTCTCCAGTACCTCTGTAGTCAGGCCAAGGGTACAATTAGACATGACATTCAAACAATTCACACCTGAGGAGATATAAAACACACAACTATCATTATATTTATAACATTTAGGCAAGACTGCAGTTCAAATTACTGGAATTATGGAATACTGAACTGTAATAATAATATTAATAATACAGTAATCCTGTGTTTTTCGCGAAGCTTTTTATCGCATTTTTTTTTACTAAAAAATTATATGCTATATATAACATATCCTTTAAAGACAAAATTTTAATTTCGCGCCATTTTCGATATTCCCGTGAGGTGCGGCAAACAGACACCACCCTTTCTCGCCTCAGACACCCGCTGCTCCAAGAAGCCTCAGTCCACATGTGCCTACCGTACTGTGATTACCTCTTCTGTTTGTCCTCCCACATGGCTCCGGGATGTAAGCCAGCCTCATCAAAGGCAAATATTACTAGCAAAGACTCCAAAGTGACCAAGAATAGTGATGAGACCTTAAAGGAAAAAACAGTTTTATTGTACAAGCTCAGAGGTGGTATGAGCTATGGCTTGAGGTGTGGTGAAGACTGACAATTCATCTGTGTCTTTTGTCAGAATACTGTACAAGTCTTCAAGTGGAGGAATGTGGGTGGAAGAAGACTGGCTGGCTGGCGTGACTGCGTGAGGGCGGGCAGACGCCGGGACAGCAGGGAGAGGCTGGCAATGCAGGTGTTGCCGACGTCAGCAAATAAAAAATTTTATTTGCTTGTAAATAAACATTTTTTGTATATAACTGTGTTTACGTTTTTCCATTCCTATACTACAATATGATTAGTTTCAAATAAAGATGTTAGTAAATGCCGGTACAGTGCATCAGTGACCAGTGTGACCACTGGGCCGTGAGTTGAGAGCATGGCATGGTGAAGTGCATGACCTACCCTGAGCTGTTTGGTGGCCACAGGTGCAGTGATTCCTAAGAGTATTCGCGGTTTGGGCTTTTCGCGGGGGTTTCAAGAACGCAATTCCCGCAAAAAACACGGGATTACTGCAATAATAATAATAATAGCAGCTGGTGTTTTGTTTCTCAAGTGCCAGTTCTTCTATAGAATGTACAAAAAATTAAGTTTACCACTACATCCAGGGTACATAGAGTTGAAAGTAAGCTGATTGCATGTGGCTGATAACCTGTTGTCTGAATTAGAAATTTGAGTTTATAGCTAATATTTTTACCCTGCATTATAAATATTTATGTATTGTCAGAATGAAACATTTCTATATCTTAATTTTGATTTGCCATTTTTTGTCAGTTCTCCTTTATCTTCTTTCACAAGCAACTGACAATTTATTTTAGAGCAATTTAAAGTATCCAATTCTTTATATCATGACACGACATAATGTTAGCTACACCAGTTACAATTTTTCAATGAGATTACAGACACCATAATAGCAACCTGTTGAAGCCAAATTGTAAAATGTAAACTCCTAAATATTTTGTAATAAGTCATACATTTCTTTAAGGTTTCTTACAAACATGAATAATAAGACCTATAACACTGAAATGAAATACAGTCAATCCTCAACCTTCCCACCAGCCTCCACTACTGACAGAAATCCCTGAACTTACCATGTTCAAGGTCTCCATCATCGTCATCGTCATCATCATCGTCATCATCCTCTTCACTAGCTTTTGCTGTAAAGAAAATTTTATAAGTTTAGCTATATTAGTATAGATGGAGAGGGATGAGAGTTGTGGTGTGTTTTAGATATTTGAAGTGCATGTGTAGGCAAATGAAATGTGTAAAGAAGGAAATCAATAGGGGATGAAATCTAAGAAAGAAACACATCAAAGCTAAAAAAAAGGCAATGTACAGGTTAATTGTCATACCAACATTATTATATGGGTGTAAACCATGGACTCTGGTTGCAAGAGATGTAACAACTTAGAAACCACTAGGAGCACTATGTGGGGTAAATGGGGCAGAGAATATGCAAGAGAAAACTACAGTGGGGTATGCTATAACGAACGGATCCTACTACGAATATTCCTATAACGAACGGTTTTACCTATAAAATTGAGAATGTTATAACGAACGAAACTCCTACAACGAAAATTATTTAAAATTTTTTTTTTTTTTTTCTAATTTATTGTTTTTTTATTACAAATATTAATGATATTCTTTATTTCAGGGGTTTAAATGCATATTTATGCACTTTTTTTACAATGTTTACAATTTTATATTATATTTTTCAGTGTTAAGTGGTTGTATTTGGGGGCCTGGAACGGATTAATCCTATAACGAACGAATGCTATAACGAACAAGGTTCTAGAACCAATTAGATTCGTTATAGCATACCCCACTGTAATGAGATGTGGAAGAGGAAAACGTGTCAGGTAGAGTGCATCTGTATCAACTTACAAGATATGCATATTCTGAAAGACTGAAAAGGGGAAGACTGGTAAAAAGTGCCTAATTCAGAGCAAGAAAATGGAATGGGGGGGGGGGGGATTATGGTGAAAAATTTGATACTGATGGGTGATGATGGCTGATGTGAATTTAGATGATCTAGATTTGGGTACTTGCAGTCGAAAGGGAATACCAAAGCACATCTTTTACAGTCAAAATGAACTCCCTCCATCTAATCAGGGCCTTGGGAATGATTCTTAAATACCCCTCTTCATTTACTAGATAAGGCTAATTAACATATAAATAACAAAATTGGACAAAGAATTAACACATTTCTTAAAACTAACCTGCATAGGCTCTTTTCAAACCCTGGAAAAGTAAGAGCATCGCTGGTAGAATTTCCTTGTGGCATTCTTGTAGCACCCCTAAGCGTTCTGGACCAAGCTGTAGTAACGTGCACATCCCCAAGACACAGATTTTTCGGTCATGAAGTCTGAGTAGGACAGGACAACTTTAGCCATTGATGCATTTAGTGTTTCTCTAATTCTAAATTTTAAAAAATCTTGCAACATCAGATTAACCGTAATATAAGCAACAACCTAGTGACCAAACAGCCCCCAGTAAATGAGCGCCATTTATTAAGCATAGCAAACCTCAAAATGGGAGGCCAGAAATTTTTTACAGCACCCCTACTTTTTTTTCTCTGGTTGAGGAAAGGTAAGATAACGGGGTTCTGGTTTATGTATATCAAATGTTTTAAACAAAATTAATTTGCCATACTTAATTATGTGGACCAAGCATTAGCAGGTTATATTTACATCAGGTACGCCTTTGGCCTTGCCTGATTCAAGTTCTTTTGTTTATAAACTGTACTGTAGGCATGTGGTCTGGTAGATCCAAAGACAAATTAAGCTTGTTTGTGTATTTTTACACCAATATCAATCTGCAAAGCCTCAAGTGCCATGACATAGCAAGAACACCATTCAAAGGTTGTTATATGACAGAGAATAATAGAGAAAAGGTATCTTCAATCAGGAACAAAACTATGATTCCTGATATATTTTTAAGTATGTTTAATGAAGAAAAAATTACCAGTTACCACCAATGTCAAAACTTCCCACTACTGTCACCATGTGAACTACTTTATCCCAAGCCTGGACACTAAATGCAAATGCTAGAGATAGTAGAACAATTCTTATTCTACTTTACAAACTTGAGCTAAAACAAAGTCAGTAGCTCATTACAAACTAGAGACAACCTTATGCACATATTTTATTGTGCTCACCCAAGGAAGCAGTCGGTGTCATGAATCCACTGCTTAATGAAGTGTGATGTAAGAGTTGTCGTTGTGTTGGGTAAAGTTGTAGACTCGAGCACCTGCAACAGGGGGTCTGGTGCAGTATACAACGTCGCTATCACCACCTGAAACAAAACCATATCTTTACTTTGCGTTCTGAAAGATCCACAGACAATGGCTTGTTTAGTCTATATCTCCCATATACAATCCTAGTATAACTATCCTCACCAACCTAACATCTGTCATATATTCTATGGGCCATATCTTCAAAACATTCTGGCTAAGTGACATTCAAATTATATTTCTATATCCACTTTTCTGTAAGGTTTTACACAATTTTTCTCTGAATAACAAAATTACCCAATATTATATAGGTTATTTATATCTCTGTGATTTCACTTACTACCTGAACTGCATCTTCAACAAGTGCTGTCTAATACTACACAGATTACCTACTGTCATGTTGTTAAATTTCACATATAAAATTAAATGAATAAAGGGTTATTGAAGAAACACCAATTCAAAAACTTGAAGGGTAAAAGGTAGAACATCCTTGACCACTAATGACAACTACAGCACAGAAGTCTTGTATAAATGATCCTCCACATCATGCAGCCACACTAAAAACTAGGTTTCTACTTTCAAACAGATGTTGGAGAAAATACTCTTCCATAACATTCCTTAATAGAAAATTTCATGACTACCTCAGACTCCCATTATTGTATTTCCACAACACTACTTTTAGATCAAATGTCAATGTGGAACACTTGCCTGTAACAACATTGTGCGCAACTCTGTAGTTTTGACCTCTCGCAGCAGCCTCTCTACTACCAGCTGAATGATAGATCCCAGGCACTGGTTGATGCGTCCCTGGCACTGTAAAACCACCACTTCGAGCAGCTTGGCAGCATGACACTCATCATCTTCTGAACAATCCTTAAAATAAATGAAAATTTATATACTAAAGATCCATTGGGAAAATTATCAGCAGACACACACACTGTATCCCTCCAGGCACTGATCTTTTTCACTCTTTACAAGTTTTATCCCACTATGATGGTGAGCCAGAATCAAGAGCAGACTTTCACTCTTCATCAATTCCTTCTAATGTGACATCCACATATACCATTTGATGCCTTGCTCTCTTATCACCCATATACAGTAAAACCTCCGATAACAACAGTTCGACCAACAACTTTTCATATTTAAAACCCTAGTTAACTTAGGACCCAATTCAATTTACGTCCTTATTTTATTCGTATTTACAGCCAAAATATAATAAAAATAAAATAAAATTACATTTTCATATAAATAATAACTAAATCCTGATATGTATGATAAAAAAAATATAAAATTTAATGTAAAAAAAAATTAAGAGCACCTTGTGCAAAGAAGCTGCCTTGCTAATGAGTGGTAAACAACAGTCGGAGCATGGCGGGCCTTTTGTTTTCACGCATCTGGAACAGGAACAGGAGAAAAACTTTCTGAGGTTTCTTACAGCATTTTTGCATCCCTATTCAACATGAGCAAGAGAGCAAGTGATGGTAGTGTTGGTTCAAAAGCTAATAGAAAGTGTATAAGCTTAGCCGAGAAACTAGATGTGTTAAAACAATATGAAAAAGGTGAAAGGTCTGTGGATATTATATGGAGCAAGCAGTGAACATATTTTCTGAAGTGGATCCATTAACAGAACAATGCATTAAAATTTAAATAAATGCAAATGACCACTACATAAAGATGTATAATGAGGAAAGAAAGCAACTGTGCAAGGTTCTTTCGACAGCTTTATTAGCTAACCTAACCTAAACCATCAACTTCAGCTACACCATCAAATTCAGCATCATAGGCAGCTTCAACATCAGGTTCATTAACAGTTTCAGCAACAGCTTTATGGAAAGCTACAGCTTCAGCCAGAGTTGAACCTGATGACTTCGTCATCTGAGTAAAAACTCACACAATATTCATTGGCTGTCCTTATGTTTTAGACTTTACCACCATTGGCGAGTAGAATTTTTGTTTTACATTCGTTAATATTATTTAAAACATATATGAACAGTAAATAAGTGTTGCTTTCATATTCATATGTAGAGAAATGATGATATGTTTTCACATGTACGCACTTACTGTACATACGTTGGCGTTCCCAATCGTCTCGCTTTATTTATTTAATATTAGTGGTTAACTACTTCTAGTGTTCCATTTATTAACATTAAATAACATTACTTAAAACATACATACAGGTACCGGTATTCATTTTTTAAAATTAAGTTCACTACAGCTACAACCAAGGTTTTATTTTCTTCAGTTTCTTATGTAGAACCATAGTCACTCACGAAAAAAATGCAGTCTTGTCTCCTCTTGTGTGTTTTAATATTCTACGTATTATTAATGAATTGCATTTTTCATTTCATATATATATAAACATTAATTCAATCAAATACATATTCAGTAATAAACAATAATGAATCTTTTGTACATATTCTGAAGATAAATGACTATGTTTCCTTGAGTGCGCATGTATACACTGGCGTTCCACCATCAGTCTCACTTTTTCTTTAATATCAGTGGTTACTTCTACTGTACATTAAATAACATTAATTAAAACACATTTTTTACATTAATTTTACTACAACAACAACCAGGGTCTTATTTTCTTCAGTTTCAGGCAGATACTGACATTATGGGTGTAAACACTGACAACAATGCCGTCTCTTATCCTCTTGTGTGTTTTAATATTCTATGTATTAATGAACTGAATTGTTCATTTTGCACATATATAGATTAATTCAACCACATACATATTCAGTAATAAACAATAATGAATCTTTTGTACATACTCTTAAGAAGATAAATGGCGCGGTATCCTTAAATGCGCACGTATATGTTGGCGTTCCCAATCCATCTTTTTTTTTCCTTTGCCATTAGTGGTTAGCTACTTCTATTGTTCCATTTATTACCATTAAATAAAGTTACTTATAACAGATATATTCATTTTTTTTACATTAATTTTACTACAGCTACAACCAGGGTCTTATTTTCTTCATTTTCTCGTGTAGAATTATCGTCCCGGACTCCCGGCTGTAAACACAAACAAAAACAATGGCGTCCCATCTCCTCTTGTGACCATATTATTATTCATTTATATTGTATAAGGTGCATTCAGAAACATTATTTAAAGAATATAGTTTGCAATTTTCATTAATTGTATTGTTTTGGGGGGAAAAGAGAGTAAAAAGCCACACAAAAGATATGAAAAGGTCACTCTTGGGAACACATCTCATTATTATTGCTTTATTTTAATGGTAATTAGTGATTCGCGATACGATGATTCACCTTACACTGCAATATTGGAGGACACATTACCGTCGTTATTCGGGGCTTTACTGTACTGTGTTGTTTTCTGCATGTCCAACCCCCTGCATTAATTTCCTAGTACTGCACATCCCACACTCCCTCCCCTCCCCCTAGTTCCTCTCTCCCTTCATCTCTATATACCCTTTTTACCAATTATTCACGTTAATTTCCTCAATATATCTCTATCAGTAGTCGCTCCATTTCCTTCTCTTTCTCTCTCATTCTTGTGCTTTCAACTGTCATAAATCTTTCCTGCCAATCTCCACAGGGGCTCCATAAGCCCTTGTCTTCCACTTGACTTACCAGTGACTTCTTGTTTCTATTCTTTACTTTATAAATGTTCTAAAATCTTCTAATTTTTTTCAAACCATCCATCTCTAATGCAATCTCCATCTATCGTAACTCTTAGACAACTTAGTTACATTACCATACATAAGAGTTGGTTCAAATAGTACATGTACTGTAGTCCCAACCTATGATTTCTTCCTCAATTTTCAGCACATCTCTTTATTTATCTTCCTTTAATACTTTATTGTCTGCTTCCCTCTTCTTTAGTTATGTCATCATCTACACTGTGTCCTAATACTACCAATACTGTACCTACTTCTCTTGTCCTTTCCACTACCTAAAAATTCAATTCTTTCTCTAATTTCCTCCACACTTCCATAAATAAAACAATCCAAGAAACCTTAGCCAAGTATTTTTCCTTGGTATAATTTGTGACAGATCATAAGCAACAGCAAGAGCATTTTACAATTACAATACACATACATGAAACATATCAATTTATCAGAAATGTTGTTCCAATCTTTCAAGGTCCTTTCTCCATGATGCAAGAATCAAGTGGGTGTACAAACACATGAATACAATTTATCTCGCTCTCCCTCACCTTTGACTTCGTTATTCTATATTAATCATACCTGTGTTAATATGGTCTTGCACATTTCATACACAGCAACAAGATGAGCCTCATTACTTAAGAATGCCTCTGGGTCAACTGTTATATAATTATGCAGGGCCGGCATCATCTCCGTGAAGTAGTCAAAGCCATCATTCCGGAACATCTGCAATACAGTTTTAAGGTAGCATTTCTATTTAATATTTCAATTTCACACTTCATATTTCTCATCCAAAAAATTCTTAACAGATGTAATAGGAGAGAAGAAGAGACAGCAAAATCTAAAAACACAGTCAGAAATTACACTATCAATAGCCAAATCATGCAAGGCCTTACTCATCTTTTACGTGGTCTACCCCCCCCACCCCATGATTCCTATAAATGATATAACCTTAATAAGTTAAAATTCATCTTATGATCCAAATGTCAACACCACATAGTCCATACATTTTAATTAATTTGTCTCAAAAAGGAATTCTTCATCCCATGAATTCCTTGTGCCATTCTTCAGTTTTTACACCAATATGGCAAAAGAAACTAATGCAAGTGACAACTATGTATTAAAATCAGAGTGTTGTCTGTCCCACCTACCTGATACATCATCTCAAAGCACTGCCAAAGGTCAGGAGATATCCGTGTGCTCGTGAGACTGTAGATGAGTGCAAGTGCCTCTTCATAAAACTCTGAAATAAATAAAAAATATTAAATGTATCTACCAATGTTCCTACAGTTCTGAGGACATGGGTGTAACATGTACACATCACAATTCTGTATTTCATTCACATGGGTGTAACATGTATACTGTACCTCACACTAATGTATTTCATTCTATCTGAAATAAGGAAAAGTACATAATTAATACAAGAAAATTTTGAGCTAAGTTTGATTAATCTCCATGTGTGAATTAATATAAATGGGTAGAGTAAGCATAACACTATTCAAATTAGAACATACATCTTACACGGATACCTGACATGGCCATTAACATTTCAGAAACAGACTACTCCTGGCCCAACTGGAAACACCTGTTAAAAACAATGGACTTCAGTAAAGCCATTTTTCACTATGATGTAACTATGTGCACTGACCTAACCTTTGTGCCTCTGATACATGCACATGTTCTTAGCTCAGGGAGATTGGCTAGTAGAGTAAGGGGGTTTTAACTGTGAACATGGATTGTGATAATGTCCAATGAGGTGCAATCTGCATAGTAGAGAGAGCTGCACAGTCTCAACTCATCACAGTCCAACACCTTTGGGTAAACAATGAGTTCCATTGTCTCACTTTGTATTCCCAGCAAAATAAAGCACAATTTGAAAGCAAAACCAGGAAACGCCCTACATCTAATGATTGGGGGTTAGTACTTTAGGGGGTTAATAAACTCCTCAGCCATATTTTTGTGCCAGATCTTAAAATGATAGTCTCCTGTACATATCTGGTATAAACCATTCACATTTTTTTTTTAATTTCTCAAGAATTTCCATCTTTGTATCCAATGACAGTCATATATGCACCCTCTTCATCCATTCTGTAGTCTATGGTATTATAACAAAATTTATGTATTGCAAAACATTTCACAAAGCTGTAAGTCAGGATGCCACATACTGTACATATGTTATGGCCTTGACCTTATTAAGGCTTTGAATGTTAGCTGAGTAGGTGGCAAGTAAGTACATCAGCCAATCTGCTTCTTGGTAGCCTTGATGTGACCATTCCAAGCCAACGAAATTGCAGCTTAGGAACAATGTAAACAAAGACCAATGTTTTGAGGTGCTCCCAATGATGCCCCTTTAGAACAACACTCTTTCCATCTGGATTTGAGGCCCCAGCTTAATCAGTTCACACCACCCAAGGTTAAGAACTCTGGATTTCAAATGTTTAAACATATCTGTATACTTACCCATTACATTTTTGGTGAGTATAAGGCCAACAACCTGTAGTGTGATGGGCTCTATTTGTTCCATGATCTTGGGATTCTCCTCCATACAGTTAATCAAAGTTTCAATTGTGCTCAGCAAACCCATTGCAGTTATGGCCTTCTCATCTGCTCCATCTTCAGCATCAACCACCTAAAAGGAGTTTGACAACTTCAAACACTTTCAAGACAAAAGAGCCTTACATAGCAGTGTACCGTACAAAACAAGGTACAGTACTAAGTAAACTATACAAACCTTCGTAATTATTATATGCCACCGAGTGTCTTTCACTGCAGTATTAGTAGAAGGGTAGTTAAGCTGGTAGGGAGATGATGTTAATGACAATGTATGAAATTTAAATGATGAGAATTCATATTGCACGAATAGAAAAAAAAAAGAAGTCCAGTCACCTGTTGGAAGGTTGCTGCCAACTGGGTACACATTTCTACAGCAATTGGAGTCAATTGATCAGTGTACGTGGTGACAATCTTGCACATCACATTGGTTAGATCATCATTCTCGGTTTCTTTTATGACCTTCAGTAGTTCTTGAACAATTGGTCGAATCTGAGAAGTAATGACGAAAACTATTAACATTTTTATACACCAATTACTGCACAGTAGCGGAATGAAGGAAAGCTATCGTTGTATACAAGGAAACAGTATGTCACTACATTGCATACCACAAGGATTACTTACATTAGGTTCCACAATCTTCTCAGCCTTGTTCTGTGAAGCCAGGAATGCAGAGAGTGCCATGGCTGCCTCTACCTTCACTGGTAGATCATGGTCATTCAGTAAGGCATTTTGTATACAATTCATCGCTGCCACGATGTTCTGGTCCGATTTAAACTTAATCTCATCAAAGTTTTGTAGAATCCAACAAGCCTAGAAATATTTTTCTTATGAAAGAAAAGAAAAATGTCCTTCTCATTTCAGTTCATGTTAAATACACTGATATAAGGGGGGGGGGAGAGGAGGACAGTATTCAAGACAGACCTAAATGTTACCTGATTCATCAAATACCTAAAAATCTTTGTTGTGTTAAGAAATTGGAATTCCCCCTTACTGAAAACAAAAACCAATAAAACTGGGGTATCAAGTTTTTTTTTAATGCAGTACAGTGGTCCCCCGATTACCGAACACAATTGGTTCCATAGTCGGCTGTTAACCGAAAATTTTGTTAACTGAATCTATTATGTCAATGGGATACTGGGTAATTGGTTCCAACTCACAAAAAAGTATACTGTACAATACATACAAAGTACTGGATACCAGTAATAGAGTACTATACAGTATTACCCCGCCTAACGCGGTTTCACTTAACGCGTTTTATCATATACGCGGTGCCTCGCCAGAGCTGAACTTTCACTTAACACGGATTTTCTCCACATATACGCGGTGAGTGTCCGGCTCGAGACGCTATTTTTAGATTTGCCCCACCCGCCACCCTGCCTGTTTTAGCTCATAAAATTCATACAAATTACCCGGCCAGAATATAATTTACATTGCTGGAATTCTTATAATTTGGTGATCATTTTGAATATAAACATCATATATTTTGCTTTAAACTTACAATTTTTAGATAAAATTTTTTCTCTAGGTAACTATGTTATCTTTTGTCCAAAATATATGACATTTATATTCAAAATATTCCTGGTCTTACAAGGAATCCAGCAATGTCAATTATATTATCCTAACTTTAGTTTGAGGTATTATTTATTAAAATTTAGTGGTTATCCCACACATCTCCTTGGGACGGTTGGTGGGGGGTGGGGGGGAGGGAGGGACCGACCGACCATCTGTTACCCCGTGAAGAATTATTATTTTTTTTATTAACTGAAGATATTTGTTTTAGCTCATAAAATTCATACAAATTATCCGGTCTGAATATAATTTACATTGCTGGAATTCTTATAATTTGATGATCATTTTGAATATAAACATCATATATTTTGCATTAAACATACAATTTTTAGATAAAAATTTTTCTCTAGGTAACTATGTTATCTTTTGTGCAAAATATATGACATTTATATTCAAAATATTCCTGGTCTTACAAGGAATCCAGCAATGTCAATTGTATTATCCTAACTTTAGTCCGAGGTATTATTTATTAAAATTTAGTGGTTTTCCCACACATCTCCTTGGGACGGTTGGTGGGGGGTGGGGGGAAGGGAGTTGAGTCCATTATTTGAATGGACATTAACTTGGCGACTGTATTTCTCTATTTCTCTTAAGTATTAATTGTGTGCATGTACCATCATAAAATTAAGATGTTATTTTTACTACAACATAGGTATGTGCCTTCAAAAAGTGGAGTTTGGGGGTCGGGCCGGTTTCTATTGGAATTAATCCCACATGTTCTGTTGTTCACTTAACGCGGATTTCACTTAACGCAGGACCCTCTGGGTTCAATTGACCGCGTTAAGTGGGGTACAACTGTACTGTACAGTATACTGTACAATAAAAAATAAAAAAAAATAAATACTACAGGTTGTACCTCTCTAGTCCGGCATTCTGTGGTCCGGAAACTCCCATGGTCCGGAACGATTTTAGTTTGTCCAATAGGTAGACAGGCAGGTTTTTTTTTTTACTTATCTGAATTATTATTACATGAGTAATAATACAGAGTCATTCGTTAACCGAAAATTTCGTTAACCGAATCCATTGTTTCAATGGGATATTGGGTAATTGGTTCCAGCTCACAGAAAAGTACATACAAAGGGGAAAAAAAATGCAGTAAAGTACACTTACTTTGAGGTGTGCATGTAGAAGGTTCCTGGTTGATGATGATGGGAATTAGAAGTGGGGGTGGAAGAGAAGGGAGAAGAGAAGGAAGTGGGGATGGAGGAGAAATCACCTTTCAGGGGACCCATGCTTGATGCAGTAATTTCACCAATAAAATTTTAAGTTCACTGGGTGTAATTCAAGATTAATTAATTCAAATCAACACTGCACTGTGCTATATATTATAAATAAGTTAAGTAAATTTCAGAATGACCAATAATTTTAATATAAAAAAATGCAAAAATATTCAAGAGCACAACTTTCTTGATATTTACTCCACTGGAAACGAATGTAAACAAAGAACCGATTACTGTATTGGCGGACTAGACGATCAGCTGATGTGCACAACAAAGCGTGTTTCCCATAAGACTGTTGTTAATCGAAGTTTTGTTCGTTAATGGAACTGAAAATCCTTATGGGAGCTAATTCGTTAAACGAAATTTCGTTAATTGAACCGTTCGTTAATCGCGGGACCACTGTACGTGTATACTGTCAAACCTAAGGAAAACTGGTCTGTTGAGTTGTAGAGTTAAAGGATAAATTGCAGTTACTGCCTACAACATCCTAACCACCTCTCCACTGCATGAACTAATCTCTTACATATTCACTCAATACTTACACGTGCCCTCATGAAGCCATATGGACTCTGAAACTCTGGGAAGACATATTGGGCAATCATGGTTTCCATCTGATCTTTATAGATCTTCTTCTTGAGCAGCACACCTCCCATTGTGCCAATCTAATGAAGAAAAGAATTAACATTAATCAAAGGCAGTTGAGGAGCTATCCATCCATTATTTATATTTACCTCACTATTCATGCAAATTCATAATACAGTACTATAATAACATTGAATGTTAAGGGAAAAGAGATTTAAAGTAATGATCAACAAAATTTTTTATCCAAAACCATTTGTAAGTGAACACAATACAGATGAACACACTACAGATGGAACTGTCAATTCAAGAAAACAAATAATTTTATGAAAAGATTAGGTCTTTTTATGTTTGAAGGTTTCAAATTGGGACAAAAAAGTCCAACATTCAGAGCTGGAGTGAAAACAACTGAAGGAGGGTCAAGACATTATTAATTCCTAAAACTGGCATCAGGGGACACTAGCACCCAGGACAATACATACTACATTTAGTCTGACCATGAAGCAAATTGAGCGAGTCTATATTTGATGCCCAGAAATAAGTAGTTTTGGGACAGCAAAATCACCCCTAAACAGAATTATAAACTTAAGAATAATATGTATATTAGAAACTAGCTGGAACAAGACGTCCTTAACTGCAACTGTCTAATCTGTGGCTCTTTCATACTGAAATTTTTTAAATCCTAACATAGCTACTATAGGTTAATCACAAGTGACTGCCGAGGCCCACGAGCAGGCAAGACCACAATAATGTCTGTTCAAAAACTCCCCTATACAGCCCCATCTTTGCTATTCTAAGATGGGCATAAAGCCCAGAAGCCTATGAAGATTCTGAGTAGGTTTCTCTTACTCTGTATGACAATAAGATCAAACATCAAGCCATTACTAGTGCTGCTTGCTACAGGAACTACTTGATCCAGCTACACTTTCTTCCAGGTTTACAACTTCTGGTAAGTTCAATACAGTTCATGTTTGCCCCCCCCCCCCTTTTTTTTTACAAATAAAGAGGTAAAACCATCCACTTTTCCTTTCTGTAATTACAGATCAATAAAGGTCTAAATCAATGCTAGAATTACTTAACAGCAATATATTCTAATTTCCAATGGTCTAAAGTATTTGGGACAAATAGGTTCCTCCATAAAAATATCGAATCACCTTAAGATTCACCACACCAATGCTAACCTAACTTAACCTAACCTAACCCCAAAGGTAGTATTAGGGTGATTAGTCTTTAGGTGAGATAAGCAGGGGATCTTCAGGTGATCCAAAACATCTATTATCGCACCTTTGACAAGTCCTATTGGATAGTACATAAAAAAAAATTTAACGCTGCAATATGAGAATGGAGACTGACCATGTGCATGACGCCATCCTTGTGCCGTGGGTCAACATTAGGTGCAGTTAACACTTGCATCAGGAACACCATTGTCTTCTCTAACATTTCCTTCCGTTTGCGTACTGTCGACAAAAGAAGTGCCTGGGCTGCTGTCACTGGTGACACCAGGTCCTCATAAATATCTGAAATAACAATGAATAATGTAAGAATTCAAATCTATACCATACAACAAATTTCTATCCCTCTTAACTCTGAGTCATAGTTTTAATTTCTTTAAACGGTTTTGACATTTGCAAGGCCTTGACCTTTGATCACCCTAAAAACTACAGTACAGTACAATATACATTTCTCAGGATGAACATCACAAAAGATTTTCAGTCTTACGTTTTCAAAGATTTCTTCAACCCAACACGTTTTTCACAAACATTTCTTTTAAACATCAATTCTCTAAACAAACAAACATATATCTCCACCTTTCTCATTTAACTTATCATTGAAGGATTTTAGCTTTTGACTTAGGACAAGCTGCTAATTTCCTTCCTTCATAAACAATGCATCACATTTACAATAAGATATTGGAAGCATAATGTGTTGTCTAATGGTAGACCTTACTGCTATATGGCATCACAAATATTGTGACCAAGTCCCAGGTTGCTGATCTGACTTTCTGCCTCATTTACACACAATTGCAGGGTCTCAATTGTTTCTCTTACTTGACAACAAAACATACATATAGCATTTCTCGCTATTGATTTTTTTTTTCATTTTTGTATTTCCTTATCGTTCTTTATTATTATTAGTGTTAATATTATTATTGTCATCATTATTATTTTATTTCAATTTTTATTATAGACGTTATTTACGATAAATAGTTATTACATTTTGGCCCCCCAGGCCCCGATGTGGGTCAATGACCTGTGCCCAGGTGGGCTAATCCCAGTGTATTAAAAAAAAAAAATATCTTGACCACATATCCCCGATCAATCATTTACTACAATTTATTTTCTCTTTCTGGCGGATAAGCAATGATGGGAGAAAATTTCTGGCTCATTAATGCCAGCAGCTGTAACAACAACAAGGCAGAGAAATGAGTCATCCAATACATTTAAACAAAGATAAAAAGAAAATCATTATCACTGGCACACAATCAAAACTTGACTAAACATCTTACCAACTGACATTCTAACTCTCAAGTCTCTAATGATTTATTTTCCTTTATAAAATATATTTTTTTTGCCAAGACTGACACTTATCCATTGTAACGTCCTATTCTACCACAACGATTAAAATAATACCCATGTCTTACCAAATTTGACTCGAACGTATTCATATGGGTCTGAATTCCAAAGTTCTTGATCCGAGTCTGAATAACACATAAGGGGGAAGAGGACGTCTTGAATTACTGGTAACATATGAGGCTTGAGCAACTTCCATGCTATAGACTGGCCCACTCTGCAATAATGCAAACCATCACGATTACATTATGATCACGGTTTTCCTTGGACGTCGATAAACACACATGATGTAAATGACAATATTGTATGTCACAAAGCAGACATCCTGAAGACAAAATAACTATACCTACAACAAGGAACATTGGGTTTTAAACTTAAGATACAAATTGCCTGTTTATGATAAAAGAAAATATTAAATAAAGGGAGGAATTCTGGAGACAACAGTAAGGTGAGTGGGATCTGATCACAGCATGGATGACAGGCAATGAAGTTTTAAAGAACGGCTAAGGAGAAAAAATAAAGCTACAGCAGCCTCTTGGTAATGTGTCCCTGGGAAATGCAATAAAGTATAAACCAAACTGGACTGAAGTGATCACTGTAATCAATGGAGGACAGTGCTGGTGGCTGAGGCAGCGTAGCATCTACTTGAATCTAATGCATGTTATATATTAGAGCATCAGAAATTCACTACTTGACACTCAACAAAATGGCCAAGCTTGTGCATTCTTCACCTATGAATTGCCCAACATCAAATTCACCAAAATATGCTAGTTTGTATTTTCCCAATTAAAAAATATATATTAAAAAATATAATACAGTATACCTGTATATTTTTTTATATAAATAAAAGACATGATATATACAAGCACTCCATTCACAATACAATTACTGTATCTCGATTTGAATTTTCTTACAATGGATTTTTTTTTACAGCATGACAAGTTTGAAATACTTAAAATAATAAGCTATAGCAAAACAATTTTAATCTTGGTAAGTACAGTATATGAATATGTATGTTGCCAGATTACTACAGGTAAGAAATGACCTCTTGAGATTAAAACCAGGCGAGAAAAGCTGCTAGACACCATACATATTGAATAGTTGTCAGCAAGCAACCACAATTAACCCAGGAAAGCATACACAATGACAATAACATGATGGTGGCGATCATGAATTATAAGAGGTACTGTACAGTGAGATTTTCCTCCAGTACTTTTGGTTTAATGACAGAATTCTTCCAGTTTTTTCTTCCCCAGCAGCTGGATTTTGAAAATGAAAGAGGGTGGTCAAGCATGGAAGATTTCCTCCTAAGATAGGTGATTGAAACCCTGATCTTCAGGAAGAACAGTACTTACCAAGCTTATATGAAGATAAATGTAAGATATAACAGTTTATATATAAGTTCAAACAATTTTTTGGGCTAAATATTACATTTACTGCATACCCTGGTAACTGTGCGTGGCCAAAATTTTGGTAGATGGTAACTCACCCTTGTTCCAAGTAATTAAGAGTTTGTTGCAGGACCCGAGGTGAAATATAAATCTTATTACGATATAAGTCGAGGATCTTCATCAGCACTTGGAGGATGCCTTGTGTAAAAGTTTTAATAAACCAATCTGCAAACTGTTTGTACTCTTTAACCACTGTACTGGGACAACCATATCTGCAACAAAAATAATTACTTCAGTAAACTGCAAAAGCTCTCACTCAAAACAGTAAAACAAATATGAAATCCCAGCGACATCAAACACACTAATTAAAGGGAAATTAACTGGTAATATAAAAACAGTGTATCGTATTTTTCGGCTTAAAAGAAACACTTTTATGACAAAAATATAGTCGATGAGTTGTAGCAGAAGTTTTTGAAATCAGCCCCTTACAAAGACTGTTACCTCATTACAGTACTTAACAATTACAAGTATTCTCTATACAGTACTATAAAACTATTGATTTAACTAATATTGTTAATATATTACAAAAAAAATAAACCCTTGCTGCTGTGTGGTTTGTTTACTAATGGCAGTGGTGCGGCAGCGCCATCTATTGAGAAATTGCTAAAGGTTGTCTGCTGGTCTCAAATGCAGGAATGTTTGTTTCTTTATATATAGGCTCTCATATTTGGACACCTATTTACAGTAGGCTCTCATATTTGGACACCTATTTACAGTAGGCTCTCATATTTGGATACCCATTTAGACTAAAAACCCCACAAAATTAATATCTTCCTAATTTAAATACAACTTTGTCATCCCAGTAAAAGCACACACACAACAACATTGGCTGTCCTTATGTTTTTAACTTCATTACCACTGATGGGTAGATATTTTTTTTTAATTCAGAAACATTAATTAAAATATATATGAACAGTAAATAAGTGTTGCTTTCATATTCTTATGTAGAGTAATGATGATATGTTTACACATGTGCTCACTTACATATATGATCTCTCAGTTTTTTACCCTTAATTGTTAGCTACTTCCATTGTTCCATTAATTAACATTAATAACATTACTTAAAACAACCATACTAATTTTACTACAGCTACAACCAGGGTCTTATTTTCTTCAGTTTTATATGTAGAACCAATCAGTCACTGGTTTTGTAAACAACAAAAACAATGACGTCGTCTCGTGTGTTTTAATATTCTTCGTATTATTAATGAATTGTATTGTTCAATTTGCACACATAAACAATAATTCAATCAAAAAGAAATTCAGAAACATTAATTAAAACATATATGAACAGTAAATAAGTGCTACTTTCATATTCTTATGTAGAGTAATGATGATATGTTTACACATGTGCTCACTTACATACATGATCTCACTTTTTTTACCCTTAATTGTCAGCTACTTCCATTGTTCCATTTATTAACATTAAATAACATTACTTAAAACAACCATACAAATTTTTCTACAATAATTTTAATACAGCTACAATGGAGGACTTATTTTCTTCAGTTTTATAATTATGTAGAACCAATCAGTCACTGGTTTTGCAAAAGACGAGTTGTTTTTTTACTTTTATTTTGTTTTTAAATAAAGATTTTTTGCTTTATATAGACATTGATGTACATGTTTACATTTGCTTACCTTCTACTGTTGGAAAAAATTTCCCGTCGTTGTCATACCGACAAAAACAAGAGAAAGAATGTAAACACTACAGCCCCTAAGATGTGGAGGTGACCAGGTGTATAAAATGAGTGCTGTATAAAAGACTTCACCTTATACAGATTTTTTTTAAATAGATGAAAATGACGACTGGTAAGCAGTTCTAAGTGACGATATTCAAAGAGGTGTGTGTACTTGTGCCAAAAGGGCTGTATATCAAGCAACGGTTACACTGGTGTAGGTAGTAGGCATCTAATGTACCAAACAAGGAGGCACTACCGTCTGGGAAGATATTGGAAGCATAATGTATTGTCTAATGATAGACCCTGCTGCTATGTGACCAAGTCCCAGGTTGATGATCTGACTTTCTGCAGGGTCTCAATGGTTTCTCTTACTTTGACAACACAACACATACAGGTACAGTGACACCTCGGTTAACGTAATTTCGATTAACGAACTGCCTTCCATAAGGACCTTCAATTCGGTTAACGAAGTTCTTACGAACCGACCTCAACATGTTTTCGCTTGCACTGACCGGGCAACCAGCTTTAGTATCAGTCCGCCAATACATTAATCGGTTCTAGGGCTTAAATTCCTTACTATTTTAGTAAATATCAAGAAGTTTATACTTTTCAATAATTTTAAAAGTTTGATATTAAATTTTTTAGTCATTTTAACAATTATTGAACATAACTGAAGGTAAAGTGACTAGTTTAATGCGCGACATCCAGCCTCTTAACACAGCAAACAGGAGTTAGTCTCTCTCTGTTTTCACTGGAGGTAACATCTTGCTTGAGACTCTCTTCAACTAAATGCTTTTTTCTGTGTTTCCAAGCAAATTATTGGTCATTTTGAAATATATTTTACATATTGACAATATATAATGCAGTGCAGTGTTGATTTAAAGAAAATAATCTTGAATTACACCAGAGAGCTAAAATTTTATGGATGAAATGGCGCCATGGGGTGACTTCTCTTCCACCCCAATGCCTTCTCTTCTCCCTTCTCCTCCACCCCCATTCTAATTCCCATCATCATCATCATCATCATCCAGGAGCCTTCTACATACACACCTCAAAGTAAGTGAACTTTTCTATCATTTTGTTGAATTTAGGCAATTTTCGGTGAGCTGGAACCAATTACCCAAAAACCCATTGAAACAATGGTTTCGGTTAACGAACAACCTGCTGGAACGGATCGAGTTCGTTAACCGAGGGACCACTGTATAGGTAATTAATCTGTAAAAGTTTATTAGGTTTCTTAGTTTCATGTTTTTTATTCACAGAAATACTGAAATTTCTCAAAAACACATGAGCTTCGGTGGTTTTGATTATAAAACCCATAATTATCTAGAGTTCAGGACTTCCATATGGAACTGTTGAAAATTGTTCGCTCTTTGGGTATGAGGGGCGCGATGGATACAGGGTTGACCAAAGGGGGGCACAGTGCCAAAAAGGTGAGGAACCACTGCTATAATATAAAATAGAGTCCTTGGATGACACTCTCGATAGCCCAAACATTTTCATCTAACTTCTCTCTTAAAAATTTTCCTTCAACAATATCTGTATTTTCATTCCATACATCAACACAAGTTTAATTGTCATCTTACCTTTCAAATATTCTAGCAAGGATATGAAGTGCCCATTTCTTAATTTTCCACCATGGTAAATCTGGCCTCTCTTCCTCGTCTACCTGCAGAGTCTGGTCAGGTACAGGACGATCTGCCACTTGTCGTATAACTTCCATCCATTCCGTAAATTGTTCACGACTCAATAACTCGAGAGGTAGGTGGTACTGCAAATAAAAGGAAAAGGAATTTGTATTAGACCTTATATCAATCAATCTGGTGTTCCCTCACATCTGAGGGTTGGAGATCCTGGACCTCCTTTTCCAAATATTTTCAGGCTGTCCACCAATCTTCCTAGGGGGACAGTTTTTAATTTAAATCATCCACCCTAACCACCTCTGCCTGCACGTCACACCCCCTACCCTGAATTTTTCCAAGTAAACTCTCTCCCATTATCCCCCCATCCATAGTTATACAACCAAAGCATCTCAATCTTATTCTACCAATTTTCACTAATTTGTTCCTTGCTCTGCCAATTTTGGAATGTATTCGCTTGTTTTATACCCATTAAACTATCCTTAACCCTTAAACTGCGATGTCCCTCATATGAGGCCACTTGATTGACTGAAAATCACTCATACGAGATCAAGCATTCACACAGTACACCACATCATGCTACCCACACATCATCGAAGACCCACATTCATTGCCCTCAGTAGTAATCTGCCCTATGCCAACCCCCCCCCATATGCTCACTTTGACACTTCTCTCAAGCTGAATAAATGCAAGTAAATAATTTAAATATTAATTTCTTATTCTTCTGCATGCACATCATTAATTTCATAACAATGTAATAGGTTTTGACAATTTTACTCTAATATTTATTGGACAACCAGCACTTTGCATGACACTTCCCTTTATTCCTTTCCACAACTGACCAGCTTCTGTTTGCAAGTATTCACACTCAATGACAACACACGTTTTTCACTAGCAGAACATATAGTGACATTCTTCTCAACTAAAGCTAAACCCATCAATCTTACTTAATCCCTAAATATCCCACCATAGTTCTCATGTTTGTACAAACTTCCACATAATTTCCAACTGAGTAATGTCCCATATTTCAAGGTATTCATTTACAGTGGTCCCTCGATTAATGAACACAATTGGTTCCACAGTCGTCGTTCGTTAACCGAAAATTTCGTTAATTGGACCGTTCGTTAATCGACGGAACACTGTACACTCAAAATAACAAATTCCCCCCCAATAGTATCTCTTACTGGCCATCTCTATACCATACCTTCAGGAATTAGGCTTTGAACATTCAATGAAAACCTTCGTCCTTCTTTCTAAGTACTGTACATCCATGTCTTGCTAGCCAAAAGAAGCAATTCTACGAACTACCAACAGTACTTACTACCAGTTCAGGTACTCAACTATCTCATCACGTACATACTTACCAAGTTCCAATATGCCTGACAAACTGCAGATTTTCATCTCACCTAATCTATGATCTAGAATGCACCCCCAAGTTAATTAATTCATGTTTCATACATGGTACTATGTGAAAGCAAGCATGCATCTCCCCACTTCCTGTTCTTATTCTCCCACATCAATATGCCTGGCAACCAATATATTCTTTGTGAGATTGTGATACTTTACTGTAACTCTTCCAATTTCTATTAACACTATTCATCTTTCCTTTCAACTTCCTTCAGGACAAGTTCAATGACAACATGGACTGAACTCAACAGACTACAAAGTTAATGAAAAAGTTTAGTTAAACATATAATAGGAAAACAATCAATAGCTACTTAGTTTGCCCATGAAAAGAAACTTGATAAAATTAAAAAAATTACCTGTGTAAAAGCATAAAATATCTTGAGAATAAGTTTTTGTAATAGTGTGGAATGCTCAGATGGATCTGGCAGAAGGTGCACCATCCGTTCATAGCACATCGGTAGCAGCAGTCTCATTGCCTCATGAAGTGGACCTCGATCTTCCTTCTTTTTGTATCTAAAATAAATAAATTTCAATGTCAATAGAATACACATATACTGTTCAATATCAATATATTACCTCATAAACTTACAAGTGACTTTGTATCAGGGTCTTGGAAACTAGCCAGATACTGCATCTGCAAGTACTGTGTTCCTGAGTTGCTCTGGGTTGATGTTGTAACTCAAGCAATACATAAAGCTGCTTCAGCAAAGATTATCAACCATTAAGCCTATTAATTTTCTTAAGACTGTACTGAGCAGAACAAAACATCCTAAATAAATTGTATCCAATGCTCAACTAACTGTCCCATGCAAGTGGACTTGCATCATCACTAGTGAGGGTCAATGTAAAGACAATGAAAATATAGTGTCCCCCATATCCCACCACTAGTGGTAAAATTGGGTTACAAGAAATACCCGCCCTGAGGAAAGAACTAATTCTAATTTAACTAAACATACGAGTTGTGCTATTTGAACATTTATATATGTACAAAAGATGGCTGCCTTTACAACAACAAATTATAAATTTAAGATAATACATCTACACATTCTATACTAATCATAAAAAAATAAAATATTATGTTAGTGTTCTACATTGTACATCACATAACAAAAAGTAATCAGCAGAAGGTCTTATCCCCTCAACCTAGGGCCATAAATAACGAGTACTGTACCTGTTGATCACCAGAGACCATTATAAGCACTAGTGATTCACCCAATCATCATGACAACCTTTGAATCACTTGTCATTGTGCATAACTAAGCCACTTGACATCACAATCCTAACCTACAATTTACTTGGCATCATTTTGAATACCTATGGGTCATGATGAGCTCTTTGTGTCACTATACTTATGATAACTATTAACCACTTAAGTCATTATAAGAACCATGATTCACTTAGGGTTATTATCAGCACCTGAGTCACTTCACATCTTTATCATCACTTTCAAAATAACTGCCATAATAACAAGCAAGTGTGAGGCACCTGGTGCAATACTGTATTACAATAAACACTTGTGGGGCATCTAGGGTCATTACAGGTATCCATAAATACACACTACCATTCAGGGGACTCGTGCAGCATACTGTATTATCAGTTCTCACTATTGATTGATTTTTTCATTTTTGTATTTATTTATTATTATTATTATACTCTTTATTTACTGTATTAATTGTTATTATAATATTTCGCCCTCCAGGCCCCGATGTGGGTCAGTGACCTGTGCCCGAGTGGGATAATCCCTGTGTAAAAAAAAAAAAAAATTAAATAAATACAGGTAATTAAAAGAACTTTTATCAAACTTATAAAAATAGTGAGACAAACAAAGCAACATGGCTATACCTTAGTGGTTAATATACTCACTCGAAATTTTTAACAAGTTGATAAAGACAGAGAAGACCGCCATTCCATAAACTTGTGTCTGGGTTCTGAAGGTATATACTGATCTTGTCAACAATAGTCGTCCATCTGCCTGGGAAGTCATGTTTCACCATCTGATATGTACATACTGCTAGCTGCACTCTGTAATGCAAATACAATAAAGAGTTATGCTTGGCACTGATAGGCAACAGCAGTAGACGGGTCACACTGGAAAATGCTTGGGATCCCTGGTATAAAGGAGGGATTCCATGTACAATTTCATCTGTTTATAGCAAAGCATGGTAGGTTCCTAATAATATCAAGTGTCAGGCATGCCCCCAAGGAGAGAGGGGGGTATTATGTCAGGAAGGTGGTGGTTTCAGGGCATGTCAGGATGTAGGTACGAGTCGGGTTACCCACAAAGTCTACATGTAGCGAGCCAGGCTCAGGGCTGTCCTGGACAAGTACAGTACATTCCACTTAAATTTTGCTAGGTACCCCTTTTAAACACACTTGCCTGGATCTATTACTGTACAGACTACCCTGTAGCTACACATCTTACTAACACCCATCAGGAAGTATTTGGGCAAATGTTTTGAATTCAGATTTCAGTGTTTGGGATTCAGACCTCGGGGAGAGCAAGGATTGGTAAACACAGGAGTGGAGTCAACTGTACACAGGTAAAAATATGACTAAAGTGGAGGGGGGAACATTAGACATATTTTTTCCGTGTACAGTTGGCTCCACTCCTGTGTTTACCAATCCTCGCTCTCCCCGAGGTCTGAACCCCAAACACTGAACTTTGAATTCAAAGCATTCTTCCAGTGAGCAGGAGGGAGAGGGGAGGGGTGTGTCGAGGTAGGCATCTTTCTGTGGGGGATGGGAAGAAGGGTATTCAGGGTGAGGAGTGAAAGTGTAAAGAATCTCAGTTGGGAAGATTACAATACAGAATAATGCAGTGGAAAAGGACATTTATTATAACTAACACCTAATAATGTGAACAAGTAGCTAAGACTAATAAATCACACACCCTGGTTGCTTGAAATACTGAGTATCACATGTATTTATATTCTCACCATAATTGCCTTATGGAAATGAGGACACAACAGTATTTTACTTTGTAAATTGTCTGTAGTGATTCGACTACCAGCAACCCACAGTAGGAGTTTGGTGATGGAGGCTGGGAGGGCGTGAAGTCAAAAGTTCTCTCCTGTACACAACATAGAAGCATCTTTATTATTTAAGACCATTAAGCAACATCTATATCACTTTGCACCATAAATTACATATAATGATGATAACTTTTTGTTATACCCATTTAACCGCACTGTTTGGCACAATTGAACTATATGGTTGGCTGATTCTATACCAGACAGCTGCTAATTAAACTCTTCAGTATGATGTGTTCTTATCTATTTCATTTTGGCCACCGCCAGACGATTATTTGGTTGGGGTAGTTCCATTTCATAGTCAATTGGTTAAACAAAACTTTGCTGCTTCTACAAGGTATACAGTATATTCATACATATCCATAATCCATTTGCTCATAAATGCCCACTTTTGCAAAGGGACCCCCTACTTAGAATATGAATTCATCCCCCTCTAATTCTATTTTAACTTTAGTATTTTCATCTGGCTAGCGCTAGACAATTACACTCACCCAAGGAAACCCTGTAATTATTGTATAAGCAATATCCTGCACTGTAATTTCTCCCAAATGATAAACATTTTCCGTCCTCAGCTCTACTAGCACTAAATTTCCTCCCCACAGAATGACAACCACTCCGACACACCCTTCCACTATCCCTCACGCTCACTAGCATATGCTTTGACTTCACACTTCTAAATTCAGGGGTTCAGACCTCATTGGCAACGCCAAGTGGTAAACGCAGGAGTGGAGCCAAAGGTTCATCTCTGCGAAACTGCTCTCCAGAAAGGGATATGAATTCAAAAAGCACTTTCCAATAACATTTCACCTTCACATGCTGTAATACATCTATATTTCATAAATATAAAGTTACCATACTCACAACTAGAAACAAACCTTACCTTACTAAGTCTGGGGCATGAACCACTGCATCTACTATGGCATCCCGTATCATGGCACGATCTTGTTCATGTATATGAAACGGTATGGGTTCACCACCTTCATACTCTGCATCTTTCCAATATTGTGAAACCATGTTCTTTAAATAGATTACACCTGCTTGACGTACAGGCATGTCCAATTCTCCCATCATTACTACTTGAAGAAGGGCTGGTGTAAACCCAATGATCTTTTTCATCTGTAAAAAAAAATCCCATTTGTTAAAAAGAATTACAGGAAATGTATTTAATAATAAAAGAGTACTGTACCTGTATTTTGGAATGAAAATGAATGCATCAGCTTTTATTCTGCAGAGAAACCCCAGCCATATAAAAGGTTAAGTTACTTTTAAGAAAATAAGAATACATGTACTGTACTAGGAAAGATTATCATATTTACTGTCCAATTATAGCTACTAATACACTAGAATAGTAACAGTAAGAATTTAAAATTCAATTTAAATGACAATTCTCATTAACATTTTCTAGAATAAACATCCATTACACTACATCAATAATTAATTCTTAACTGTATCCACCAGTAGCAATAAAAGTATCTTAGTAATAAATTTATGAAAATATTAATTCACTGGTGTAAAATGTAAAATTACTCGGCAATTTTTTTACACCGAGACAAACATCCCAATTACACAAAGCAGTCAAATTTAACACCCCATCTGATGGGTTGAAACTAGTAATCCATGCAGAAGACACCACCTCAAACATAGCCCTAGAGCAGCAGTTCCCAAACTCAGGTCTCAAGATGCAGCATAAGGGGTCGCACATAAGTCATGGGGTCACATAGAGCTGATCGAGTTGCTGGAATCACACACAATACTTTTTTTTAAGTCTATGTATCAAGGACGTGTTTGACAGGTGCCGTCTGGTTAAGTCGGGACCATAACTTATGGTCAGGGGATTAATGAAGTTACTCTCCTTATGTCAGATCAGCCTTACCCTGCTGATGCATTTCACAACAACAGTTCCACACTCCTACCTTTGGACTGGTTTCAGCTCAGTTCACTCTACTTAACACAGATGTAGACAGAAAATGGCAGAAAATTTCAATGACAGATTCCCTCTCAGTTGCTTACCTACCGAGTCTTTGCATTTTGTTCGGTTACCATTCAAGACGGATGTAAAGCAGTGTGGCTCTTTTGCATTTGAAATGGCAAAATTACAGGCTGACAATGAGGCAAGAGTGATTTTTGACATTTATGATGATATTGCAAAGTTTTGGGTTGCTGTATCAAAAGACATTCAGTGGTTAAAAATCGAGATATCAGAATTCTGGTACAATTTGGTAGCACGCATGTCTGTAAGGCAGCTTTCTCTTCAGTTGTATTTATAATTTTGTTACCGTACCGTATATCAAACTTCAACTGAGAAAATTGTATGCTATGTTGCTTAACCTTGTATACTCACGGGTATAGAAAATAATTAAAATGATGACACACGTCAGATATGAAATATGACACATCGTAGCATACGACTTTTGACAGTTGTAACTTAAAAAATTGTATGCAAGGTTATTTAATCACAATTATATCCCCAATCAACAGGAAATTTATGAAATGATAAAGCGCACGTCACATGAATTATGACTGATGTGACTATGGAAACTGTGTGTTATGCTGCTTAACCATGTAATTATACCCCCAGGTTTATAACATTAAAAGATGATATAAATGTCATTTTATGTGACAGTTGTAATCTGTTTCTACCAGTGTTTACTTTTACACTTATTTATGTATACTGTAATACATACTGTATATGACTTGGGATCGCACTGGATAGACAACAACACTAAATAGAGTTGCACTGAAAAATGCTTAGGAACACCAGCCCTTGAGGAATAGTTTGTCTGAACATAACTGTGCAGGTAGGGTTTCAGCAAGGTGAATATACTGTACCTGTCTTTGTTTTATACCGTAGGCACTCTACCACCAACCCAACAATAGTCAGTTTGAGGACCATATTGCCAAGATATCACATAGTAGGATCAACTGTTAAACAACAACAAATTAAATACAGTATGTATAAGAAATATAAGCAGACCTTAAATAGGTACAGCTTCAAACAACTACCCGGTAATCATTTCATCAACCTGGATAACAAAGTTCTCAGTCACCACACTAGATCATGTAATAAAAATCAGTCAGGAAGGAGTCATTCCTGTTGGCCTCACTAACCACTTTATCATCTACTTCAACAGGGAAAAGGTTAGGGGCAGACAGGACACCACAAAGGAATAAAAATAGTCAATGAAGAATTACAACAAAGATTTTCAAAACAAACTAAAACATATTGATTGGTCACTTGTGACAAATTGCATGGAGGTTAACAAGGCCTCAGAGATGTTCAAAATTACCTTTGCTGGAAATCTTGATCATGTAATACAGATAAAGGAGATTAAAATAACAGATAGAACTGAACCTTGGATGACAAGCGAGACATCAAAATCTATCGGATACAGAGATCAACTCACTCCTAAGTTTAATCTATCGGATACAGAGATCAACTCACTCCTAAGTTTAATCTATCGGATACAGAGATCAACTCACTCCTAAGTTTAAAAGAGACAAAATGATGAGTCACAAAGAATTTTGTAGGCTAAAAACACGGTACAGATATAATAAAGAGAGATGTAAAACAAAACAAAAAAAATATATATATATTTGAGGAAAAATAAAATTAACAAAAACTCTGAAAGCAACTAAAAGCCCTTGGGCACAGCAACAACGTTGTGATAAACATCAATGATGAGCTCTGTCATGACACATCTGAAGTTGCAAACAAAATTTAATTCATTTCATACAACAGTTGCCTCATCTTTAATTGAAAATTGCCAATAGCCTTAACAATTGAAGTGTAGGATCAGAAGCTTTTAAATCCCACTACAGAAAGCGAGGTATCACTCCAGATACGATTGAAATCCGTGCCGAGACAGGACTTTGTTCTAAAAGTTAAAATAAACTGGACCCCTACAAAAGCACAGGTATTGATAGTACCCCAGCAGCCCAGCCAGGTTTTTGAGGGCTGGTGCCACTATATTAAAGACACCAAAACACATTTATTTAATCTCTTCATGAGTACCAATACTGTACAGTACCAAATGAGTACTGTACGTATAAGTAAGCTGAAGTAACACAGATCTATAAGAAAGGTGACAGGTCCAATACTGTAAGCTACTGCAATCAAAGGCCAGTTAGTATCCTGTTTACAGTTTCCAAAATCCTAGTGAGAGCAATGTATGTTCAAGTGGAGATATCTCCTTAATTGAAATATTTTGTAAAGTTATCAATAAGGCTATTGGGGCTATTAGCTAATGACGCGGCAGTGAGAACTCTGGGTCAATGAGACCGTGACCTCTCTTGGGTCAGGTCTGGACAGCTGTGTTTGCCCAGGTGCATGGTCATGTCGCCGGTCGGTAATGCTTCCTAACTATTACCACCCGGGTGTGTCTGGCCAGGTGTAGTTTCTTGAGTAACACGGTCACCACACTGGGTTAACTCAGGTAACTTGTGGCCGTCAGCTCTCCTGGGTCAGGTCTTACTCTCACTGTAGGGTGTCAACCTATGTGGGTTACCATGTTGGCATCTACTTACTGTTATATGTGCTGTTCTTCTCTGGGCTGTAAGCTAAGGTCTGATAAACAATCATTACACTTTGCTCTTTTTGTGCTATGTCAATGACATGCCCATTAGTGTTAATTATGAGCTTTTGCTGTATGACGGTGACAGTGCTCTTTCATTACTAGGAAAAGATCCAAATGATATGTAACGAGTTATCTGAACTGGAGTAATGCAAACAGTGCCTCATAGACAACAAATTATCCCCAAATCTTGGGAAAGACTGAAACAATAAATAATATTTACCGTATATAAAAAAGAAGACTTAAAAGGGTAAATAAATTCATTGTACGGTACTATGTGGGAATGAACCCATCTCAACTGTAACCTCGGTAAAATACCTTGGACTAACTTCTGACTCATTTGTCTGGTGAATTGATCATAGATAATACCTGTACTTGTATTGTTGAAAAAAATAATGCAAAAATAAAATTTCTCTATAGAAATACTAAATACCTCTCAGCAGATGCCCGTAGGACCCGCTGCTTGGCGCTCATACAATCACTTGGACTATTCCTGCTCGTCATTGTACTCTGCCTTAACACATAACTAAAATGCAAGCTGCTAACTGTTCAAAACAAGACGGTGAGGTTCACTCTTGACATGAAAGCCAGAGATCATGGTCACGAAGTTCTTCAATCACTGAACATATTAAGTGTTGCGGACAGAGTGAATCAACTGTGCCCAGAGTATCTAACAACAAACTTTTTAAGGATTAGGGATATGAACTGGCAAGGCACTAGAGGGAGTGAACATAACTTTATGGTACTTGGTGTCTGCAGTCAAGTGAATAATACTTTCTTTCCAGCTATAATAGACTGGAACAAACTATAAGACTACACAAAAACTGGCTATGGTATTAAACAATTCAAAGTAAAGAAAAATATGAATAAAATAAATAACTAAACTACAACAAGAGAAAAGAGCGAGTTTCTCTATTACTGTATTAAACACAGATTGTTGTACTGTTGAAGTGATCTGCCAGCTATGGATAGCCCAAGTGCAATGTAATGTTGGTTGAATATTATGTAAAAAAAAACTCACTTACTCCTGTAGACTTACTAGTATTACTGATTAGAGACCATGCCTAAGCCTAATCAAAGAACTTTCCTGGAAATAATCACCTTACAGCTTTGTCACCTATCCCTGATCAAGTTGCCTTACTGTTTACCAGTGTTGTTTACCTATACTGTCTCAGCACACAGAATACTGTATACAGTGGTCCCTCGGTTAACGAACGGTTCGATTTACGAAATTACGGTTAACGAATTACCTCACATCAATTCGGTTTACGAACAAAACTTTGATTAACAAAAAATCCTTACGAACAACACATTTTGTTGTGAGCATCAGCTGATCAGCTGATGGACTAGTCTGCCAATTCAGTAATCTGTTCTATGTTTACATTTGTTTACAGTGGAGTAAATATCAAGAAAGTTGTGCTCTAATATTTTTGCATTTTTTTATAAAAATTATAAGTCATTTTAACATTTATTTAACATATTGATAATATATACAGTACAGGAAACTAGTTTTTTGTGCGCCCATCAGCCGCTTGACTCACCCACCAGGAGTCAGTGTGGCTTTGTTTACAGTGGAGTGAACATCGATTTTGTTGGTGTCTTGAATATTTTTGCATTTTTACATTAAAATTATTGGTCCTTCTGAAATTCAGTTAACATATTTATAATATATAGCGCAATGCAGTGTTGATTTGAATAAATAAATCTTGAATTACACCTAGTGAACTTAAAATTTTATTGGTGAAATTACTGCATCAAGCATGGGTCCCCTGAAAGGTGATTTCTCCTCCATCCGCACTTACTTCTCTTCTCCCTTCTCCTCCACCCCCACTTCTAATTCCCATCATCATCAATCAGGAACCTTCTACATACACACCTCAAAATAAGTGTACTTTACTGCATTTTTTTTTTACTTTGTATGTACTTTTCTGTGAACTGGAACCAATTACCCAATATCCCATTGAAACAATGGATTCGGTTAACGAAATTTTCGGTTAGCGAACGACTCTGTGGAACGAATTGTGTTCGTTAACCGAGGGACCACTGTAGTACAGTACTCCCACACTCTACGTGGACCTTTCATCTATATTATCTAATGTCTATATTAATGTTGAACTGTATAACTGCATAATTCATAAACATGCCTCTCCAATTGTAAACCTTTATGACAATTTTACTTTATAATTATTATTATTATAGTTTGGGCATATTTTCCATGCACCATTTAGACTTTATTGTGGAAATATGTAATTTTTCCTCGAAGATAACATCTTACACTTCAAATAAACACAATTTTGAGCACTTAGTGTGTACTATTTCAAGCATCTATTGAGCATTTCTTGATCTTGAAATAAATTTAAGAATAAAATTAATTAAAAGATATCCTTAGCGACTTCTATTAAATTACAATTATAAAAGTATTTGGACAACCACCAACCCACTAGTTAACTACCAACTAGGTTGTTAAGCAATTGTAGGTCTCCTTTTAACACAATAATCATATCCTAAACAGAACACTAATACCTTGGATGTGTGGCAACAAGACTTTCCTGTGTAAGTGTACTTAATGCAACAAATAACTTGGATATTAAAGTGGTTTGAGGCTGCTTCCAGTTTTTTAAAAAAAACATGGACTGTAGAAGTAACAAATTAGCTCAACAAATAAAGACTTTTAGCTCTTGGTCTCTGGCAAATGAATCCTCAAAGGGAAACAATAACCATTTTCTGATCCCCACTGGATTTCTAGAATGTCATCACAATCACAAAAGGTAAGAGAGGTGCAGGGCACCATTGGATGTCAACCGGTTGACTTGATGCAGTACTTGAGTTGCCCAGTAGTGTACAGTACATTAGTTATGGATTAACAAACATTCCTGAACACCAAAATTCTTCCAACCCAAAAAATATTGTTTTCATATACAGTATACAGTATATTAGTTCTCAAAGCTCATTTGTGACTAAACTTCTAAGCAATGTCTACACCTCCAAAATCCTCCACTAGCAATCTTCACATTATTTTTCACAAGCCAGTGAGCTCAACTTTATATCAAAGTGGAAAAAAGATGAAACAAAATCTTTCTTGCAGATGGTGAACATTAATAGTGCCCAGCAACCTGGACAAGCAAGCTACCATTTTGGCATGCCTGGCAGAATTGTCAGGTGCTGTGTGACCTCGCCTTCCTGTACATGTTTAACCCTTTCACCGCGTGTCACACACTTGCCATTTTATTCTGGCTTACCGCCAGACGATTTTAATCTGCTTAGGGTAACCTCCCGCTGTGAAAGGGTTAATCGGTGAGGTGACGGGGGGTGTATGTCACGTGACCTGACACCATATTGTGATTGACATCACAGCTGAGCTAATCTCTGATTTTTCCCCACAATGACCTGACCTCGTAAGAAAGCCCAGGTAGTGGGTAGTAGGCAGCTACCAAACAGGGAGGTACTACCGCCTGGGAATATATTGGAAGCATAATGTGTTGTCTAATGGTAGACCCTGCTGCCATACGGCATCACGAAAATTGTGACCAAGTCCCAGGTTGCTGATCTGACTTCTGCTTCATTTACACACAATTGCAGGGTCTCAATTTTTTCTCGTACTATTGACAACATACATATATTGTTTCTCACTTTTTTTTCTTTTTTTACATTTCCTTATGGTTCTTTTTTATTATTATTATTATTATTATTACATTTTCGCCCCCCAGGCCCCGATGCGGGTCAGTGACCTGTGCCCGGGTGGCCGTAAAAAAAAAAAAAAAAAAGTGCATGCTAAAGCCTCAGTGATGTCAAAGCTGATCCTCCTATTTCTATACAATATTCTTACAATGACCTGTCCTAAAAATTTATGTAAAAGTCTAACCGATTCCTGGTTAAGCAGAGTTAGCACAAATTTAAATGAAAACAATTATGAATAAATGCATATATATATATATATATATATATATATATATATATATATATATATATATATATATATATATATACACATATATATACACACATATATATATACACATATATATATATACACACATATATACACACACACACACACACACACACACATAACACATATACATATACACATACATACACACATATATACATATATACAGTATATATTACATCGTCACACTTGCCAAGAAAAGTAAATGTTCCCCATAATCTGCTCAGCCTATTTTCTTGACAAGCACCAACCAACATCCTTTGTATTTCTGAAACCAGTGATTATGTAAAAACCCTTTGGCCTCAATCAAAATTATGATCTGACCAGCACCTCTATCACATAGCCACACTGCTATTACAACCATAAAATCAACAACCACACTACATCACCATGCTACTACTCCATAGCATAACACCACTGTGAAGATTACCAAACATGTTATTTGTTATCTAATGAACAAATAACATTAACACCTACACCTAAGTCTTTCTCTTCCAGTACACAGCCACTTCACCATCAGGAAAGTCTTCGAGGTAGTAGATAATGACAATAATTACGATATTATTTACTTAGACTTTAGCAAAGTGTTTGACAGGGTACCACATCAGAGGCTTCTGAGAAAAGTTAAGGCTCATGGTATCGAGGAAAGTTTTAAATTGGATAAAATCGTGGCTCACCGATAGAACACAGAGGTTCAGCGTAGGCCCACTCTTGTTCATAATCTATATAAACGATCTAGATACTGGGATCAGCAGTGGCATAAGCAAATTTGCGGATGACACCAAAATAGGGCGGCAGATTAATTCAGGGCAGGATGCAAATGCACTACAGGAGGATTTAAATAAACTGCAGGAATGGTCAGAGAGATGGCAAATGAAATTCAACACCAGCAAGTGCAGCGTACTTAATATTGGAAGAACAAATACTGCCAACGTGTACAGCCTTAACAACATCAACCTAGAAAGGTCGACTTGTGAGACTTGGGGGTACTTGTAAGCCCGGACCTACGGCCTAAAAAACAGTGCGTTAATGTTCGAAATAAGGCATACAGAGTATTAGGTTTTATATCTAGAAGTGTAAGTAATAAGAGTGCAGAGGTCTTATTGCAACTATATCTTGCATTAGTCAGGCCACACCTCGATTATGCGGTGCCCTTATTATAGAATGGATATCAATTCACTGGAGTCGGTGCAGCAAAGAATGACGAAAATGATTCCGGGACTTAGAAACCTTCCATATCAAGATAGGTTAAAGAAACTCAACTTGCATTCCCTAGAAAGACGAAGAGTGTGGGGAGATATGATAGAAGTATTTAACTGGGTGAAAGGAATCAATAGAGGAATATAGATAAAGTTCTTATAATATCCGAGCAGGCTAGGACTAGTAGCAACGGATTTAAGTTAGATAAGTTTAGGTTTAGGAGGGAGATAGGAAGGAACTGGTTCACAAATAGGGTGGTGGACGAGTGGAACAAGCTTAGCAACTTCGTAGTAAGTGTTGGAATGCTGGAAACTTTGAAAATGAGGCTAGATAGATTCATGGGTGATAGTGAGTGGTAGTAACTCTCGACTGGAGCTGCCATGCACAGGCCAACCAGCCTATTGCAGACTCCTTATTTTCTGTTTATGTTCAAAACACCATCACGCCACTACAAACCTGCACCATAATCACACCCCCACATTACAACACCATCACAACATGTTTCCTTAGCTAACCACCATATCACAACCATACCATCAGTATCACAGTACAGTACCATCTCATCATAACCTAACCACAACATTAGCCCCACCATACTACCATAACATTACCATATCACCACCCTACCACTATAGTAACACCACAATATCCTTACCACACAACCACAAAATTACATCACCTCACTAACCAAAACGATACCATAACACCACAATATCACACTACCATAACAACACCATACTACCACAATATCATAACACACTAGCATAACAAACCACATCATACCAATTACTCATACAATCACAGCAATATGTCACCTACAGTAGATCACCACTGTTACCTAGCTACAGTGACACCCTGGCTGGTCACCTCTACCACCAGACGTGACAACCTACAACACCTCCTCTATCACCGACAACAACCGATCTACTTCACTTAATAACCACAAACCCCCCTCCAACACCCACGGAATTTCATCCTCAACAATACGAGGTGGATAATACTTGTGGGATTAATATTTATTTAGAGAGAATTTAGACGCATGTCGGTGGTGAGCAGCGAGGCACCACCCTCCGTGTCCCCCCTCCTTCTGTCTCACCTGTGTCAGTTCCTCCTCCGCCTGCTGCCTCAAATTTGGGTCTATAGTACCCCTTAGTATATCTATTATCTTCCTGGAATCCATGTCTTAGGTGATATCCAGGGTAGAGGCGACAATAAGGTGGTTGATGGTAGTGTAGCGCGGCCCACGTGACTCTCCCGGGTTATGGCGCGCTCCTGTCTAGTGTCACCCCCGACATGCTGGAACCTTTTGGCAGAACCAGAACGCGGTTATATTATTCTTCCCATTCTTTTTATTCGCGGTATATTATATATCATTACGTAGTGTAAATTGATTTTAATATACATCTAATTGTTTTAAAAGGGTTTTTATTTTATCTGGTTTTGAAATAAGGTAAAGAATTCTGTTTTGCATTTAGAAGTCTGTGTTTCACTCTAGCTTTGCGGTATTATATGCAGACGACCATCTTTTCTTTAGAAATTTGCATTTTAATGAACTCCGTTTATCGAATATAAAAATCATCTGTTCTAATCTGAAGGCTTTCTTGTTGATCAATAAATGCAATTGTTGATTCATAGATATAATGACCAACTATGTTTTTATTTCTTGGCGGGAAAATCAACGCGATGAAGTTATACAAATTCAACTGTTTTCTCTATTCTCACGCTGAAATAAAAATAATTATAGATATATCAAAATTTTACATAAACCTTGAAATTACATGTGGGAATTCTTATTGCAGATAAAAACTGAATCATTCATGCCTACAAACAAGGCCATAAAGAGGATAAACCATTTGTGAAAATGTGTACAGCTGTTAAAACGAAATACATTTGCAAAATTTACACATTTAATAATTACTAATATTATTGTGCGTTTAAAGACCTTAGTTATTGAAGAACAGTGATAAATTTATAACAACTACGACGAACAAGAAAAAGTTTAGTACACTGTATCAGTAGTACCGGTAAATGCATTTTGTATAAATTATTTATATCATGCTTTTGTGCATTTATCCCTAAATATGTTTCTTTACATCAATTTTTATATCCTAGTAATTAAATTTTAGATCATTTTCTGTGATCTGTCCATATTTCTTTAGCTGTTTTCCTTTTAAAAAGCCTCACTTCCAATGAGCTTCTTTCCTCCATCCATTTTTAGATTCCTATACAAGTACATGCACTTCAGTAATTTTTAGCCGGGCTAAAAGTGATTGAAGCACAAATAACTAGGCTAAATTAACCTGGTTTACTCTTTTGACCTACAGGATTTCCCAACTCGAATATCATTCATTTGATTTCATTCCAGTGCTGTTTCTTGTTTCCTAGGTCCTTCCTCCAACACTATCACAGACCTGTTTTGGGTTTCATTTTTAGTCTATCCTCAGCTTGTCAATAATTCTCATTTCTTTTGCTGATTTATTCTTGTTGGGAGTTTTTTTTAGTTTTTTATTCTCATTATTAAATCATTGTCAGTATTATTTCAGGTTACCTAGTTATTTCTTTCTCTGGATATTCAAAAGTAATCTCTGCATATCCTGACATTACTTTCATTATGGTATTATGAAGTGATAACCACAAATAAAGATGCATTGGGTAATGAACCACAAATAATCAATAAATATCATATGTACAAATCAACTTTATCTTCTTTCACCTCTAATTACTCGACCCACGAGAGCCAACCTTCTGGTCTTTCACTACCTTTGTCATTACACCTACAGTATTATAATTCACGTTCACAGGAATTTTGAGCATCTTTGCCTTCTTTAAATAAAAAAAAATTACCTCATTCTTACTATCATTTGTTGGTGTGTAAAACTGATCTTGTCTTAGGTTAATGTAATCTTAGTTAATCTTTGAAAAGATTACATTGATCTTGGTTGAGGTCACAGTAGCTGCAGTAAGATCAGTTATCATGGTTAAGTCAGTGATCTTATCACTTACAGCTTGTTGGTCAAAGTTGACTTTAGTCAAGGGTATAGTGAATTGTGTTAAGGTTATCACCAAGACCTTATTTGTGAAGGTCATATTGATCTTGGTCAAAGTTACAATAATCACAATAAGGTTATTATCACCAGGAGTTAGTCCGTAATGGTCAACGAAATCTTGGTCAAGATCATTAACCACTACCTGTTTGTTAGACAAGGTCACTGTGTTCTTGGTCTTGGTTTTAGTCACCAAGAGTTTGTTAGTCAAGGTCAAAGCAATCCTGTTTATATTGTAATCACCAAATTTGTTGTTCACGGGACCTTATTTAGGTTTTAATTATCAAGAATTTGTTGGTCAAGGTCACAGTGAAATTGGTATAGTTTACATCATGATCAACACCCATGGATGCAAGGTGAACCTCCAAACAACTACTGAATGTGGATCTTAATTACAAAAGCAATGAGATACTGCATCAAGACCCTGCATTGAAGTTGACCATGCAAATGATAAGATTAAGACTAAATAGTAGTTTTATGAAGTCGATAATACTGTACCAAGAAACTGTGGTTGACGCATTACTCCCTAATGGTGAACATTTGTTAAAACAAAATTAATTTATGCAACACTCCGTACTACAAGTACTGTTCTTTAAGGATTTAGCAGACTTTTAAGAAACTCAAAGGGTAGATTTTGATCCTTGGGAATGTCTTGTATTCCTGCAGACATTTATCAGTAGGTGTTAAGTTAGTCAGCTATGAAGTACTGTACAAAGCAGTAGTCTTTTTCTCTTTAATGATCGGTTTTAACAAATTTCCCTGTACTGTAAAGTACTTAAAGATATTTGTTAGCCATTAAATGTACAATATCAAAATATCACTTCCATTTCTCGTTTTCACCTTAGACCCAGGAACCTGAAGACTTACCACTAGCATACAATAGCATAATAGATATATAATAATGCTTAAGGTACAGGTACATTTTCCACTTTGTCTCAATTTTTACTTTTTAGTTTGGGTACAGCTGTATATCTGAACAGAAGGGATAGAATGAGTGCGTACTGTACAGTACTGTACCGTACTCCCACACGCAGGCCTCTAGCATATTCCATAATTATCTCATTCACCAAGGAGTGCAAGGTTACTCCAACTCTTCTTCCTTAATTTGATCCATTCACAAATTTTATTTTCCATTTACCAAACTTGGTAAGCAGGGACCCAAGTAATGTACTGTATTTGATTTCATCCCAAGTCAATTTCTTTTATACTCAAACAAAAATTAGAGAGCATATTACCATTTATATAACCCTTTCTACATAATTCATCTTAATATTCTGCATTAATTAATGTGTTTCCTAATGAACAGTCCATCTGGCATCTACACACAAAGACTGTGATAGCTTCCATTCTGTGCCAGCAAGATTTAACTTTAATCCAGTCAACAATTTTCAATACTGTACTGTACTGTACTTACATATTTGGCAATCTATAAGTAAACTTAGTGAACAGTCACCATGGCATTAAACAATCTAGGCATACTCTTATGTATGTTAAACCATTCACCACCACAATTCACACCCACAAAAGTTCTAATTTACATTTAGAAATTCTCATCTACATTTAACTCTCTTCCATTCACTACATTTTCTTCTGGTCCATTTCTATTCCATCATGATATACTTTCTCAAAAGTTCATAAATGCAGTGAATGATTTTTCTTTTCACAATGATACGCTTATTCCACAGCTCTATTACCTTTAATCAATAAGCTGAATTGTACCTGAAATTCTGAACAATATGCGTTAAACCAATTATGTCCTGTGCATCTTAAACAATTAAATAAACTCTATAAGCTGGTTCAGTGGCTTTTCAAAAGGAAAATTTCAAGAAAATAGAATAATTGTGAAATAACTTTTATATATTTCCAAACTGATGGTTCATTTACCACAAACATATCAAGCCAAAGACAATAATCTCATATTAACATTTTATGAACAATGAAAGGATATGGATGAAAATGTTACGTAATGTGTGAGACTAAAGTAAAGTGACGTTACAAGTAAGAAACTAAAATATAAAAAAGTAAACAATTTACAGAGAGCACAGAGTCAGAATGAAGAGGTTTCTGCCTCGAAACAATTCACTAATGCATGATTTACTGCATGAATGACTTAATAATGTAGGGGTGTGGTCTTGGCAGGTAAGAGCGTGCATATATGTATACAGTATGTGGGATAGTAGGGGAAACAGAGTGTATGTAAGATAGTAAGCAATTGTTATGAGGAACAAGGTACAGTATTTATCAACAGGCTGAGAGTGTGGTCATTCAACAGGAGGTAACACGAGATGGTTAAAGAGGAAAGCGAAGTTGTATGGGTGAGGACTGTAGACACTGAGTTAAAGCTAATAGGAGTTAGGCCTTCAGAAGTGTCAAGAGAAAAAGGTTGGGAAGAATCTAGCAGGACTCTAATTGTTTGGAAAAGTAGTCATCAGGAAGACATAAGTATGATAGCAATTTTACTCATTTTGGTATAAAGCAAACCATCATGACATCCATGGATACTTTGAATGGCTTGTATGTTTGTGTGAATGTCTATGGGGATGAATACATTTGTATCTACAAGTGTATATATGTAGTGAGATGAATGTAAATGTGTATGACATTCTATGTAACACAGCCAATTAGTGTGATCATGGAATAACTGAAGTAATGCTGTCATTCTCTGAAATAAGGGTGATTTAGTTACCTAAAGGATGATCAGGTTCACAAAGATTTTGTTAATTAAATAAAGTATTCAAATATACACTATTATAGTGGATGGTCTTAGCAGTTAGCATTTAGAAGGCTAAAAAAGGCAAACACTGTGACCTGGTACATAGCGCATCAACCTCCCTTACATACAATGAAACCAGCTTTTAACATCAACTACCCAAATATAATATCCAATTACAGTATATTGTTCCTCTTCTTATTTCTCTTCATGAACTTTATGACAGCAAAGACCACTAGAGTACTGTACAGTGTTGTACACACAGGTACATGAGGGTTCTTCAATCCTTTAATGTTGCATTCTACGACAGACATAATGAATGTACACTCGCTTCAAAATGTATCTGCAAAATTTTTTGCTAGACAATATGACACAATGGATTAAAGATTTTGACAACCCTACCGAGACAACAGGAGTCGTATAGTTCATTTTGACATCCATCGGACCCCACCTTACTGATACTTATTCTAACGAGTGTACAATATCATTATCCGATAATCGTCAAACCATATATGTTTTGTTTTTTCTGCAA